ATGGGCAACCAGCCCATGTCGCCCCGGCCCTCGGCGCCAGCCGGGCTCACAGAATGGCCAGCCGGGCTCACCTCGGAAGAGTTTTTGGGCTGCGACATCAAACACCAAACGAACAGTCCGCGCGAGTGCGGAGTGGACCCCGCCAGTTCCAAATCGCGTTCGATTTGGACCGTGTAGTACATCGTCCAAAGTAAATATAGCGCGGCTCTGTCGGAAGAATGCTGCATGTATTTGCCCTCGAACGCTTCTCTCCATGTGTCTTCAAAACCCGTCGTGAGCTCACAGACCAATGGCCAAATGGACCCCTCACAGAAGCTGACTGAGGGAGGAACGGCAGGGAATGTAGCTCGGGGGGAACCGTCATAGCAGGCTGTGCCAAAGGCTTTGCTGTGGCTTCGTTTCTAAAGCCAGGGGTGCCTTAGTAGCGTCTATGTTGAAAGATTGGCAACCAGAGATACCAACATACAAAGGACAAGCATTATCCTTGAACAACATCTGCTTTGCACCGCACACCACGCAGATGGAACGTATAGTGCCAGTTTGGTACGCATATTTGCGACTGCCTTTCACAATTTCAATGCTAATTGCTGCAAAGTGACACGCTCATATGTATGCGCATGTAGCACCATTAGCCGAGCAGAACAGCCGGCACTACATCCGAGTAGCACGGTTCCTCGACTCAGGCAGCTGCCGGCAAATATTCAAGTATTCAGCCAACATTTCATAATTTGGTTGAACATTTGAATGTTGGACCTTGTCGTGTTGCATTCCGCAGGGCTCCCACCACTAGAATCAGGCTTAGGCTCGGCCAAAACATCTTGGGAGCAGAGCAATGGCATTCGCACGCCCTCAAGGCCCTTCGTTAGGAGTTGCTTCGGCTTGCTTCGGCTTCGTTAGGAGTCGAGTTGCCATGTCCCCAGGCCTGGACAATGTCGGGCAGGAGCCCTCGGGACAATCGGCCGGGATCTTAGGATGGGATCGTTTGGATGCCTGGATTTGGAGATTGGGTTGGCAAATCGGCGGTTGCTTCCTTGCACGTGATCAAAATCACCCGCATGCTTGGCCAGGCAGACTGAGCTTCTGTCGATCGAAGACAAGGTGTTCAGCTCCATTGGCAAGCAGGCAAGCAAACACAGCTGAGCCCAGAAAGTTCGATGGCAACCAGGGGGTGCCCTTGTTTGGGGGTTGGTTTACAGGCAGGGAAGGCAACATAGATAAACTGCGCATTTTTTTTGGGGTCCCCCCTTGGCCATACAGCCCGCTGGGTTTGCGCAGGTGCTCTCCACCATCGCCTCGCCGCCCGGGGTCGGGGTGGCCAAGTCCACGCGCGACCAGGCGGCCAGGCGGGGGAAATCAAAGAGAGCAATGAAACGGAAGGCCGCAGGAAGTTTTGGAGGGCTTTCAAGAAAAACAACGCTGCTTTGCAACTTGGACATCGTGGTCTTTGATACATCGTGGTCTTTGATACATGTCCCCAAACAAGATATCTGCAGAGTAAAGGGCCGGGTACGGTGCTCACTCTGGGCTGGGCGTTTCGTGAGATGTTCATGTGCATTTCGACTCCGCAGGCTCGGGCAAAGTGCGGGGGCGAATGTGGTGTCTTCGCGGGTGCGCTCTCGCTGACTCGCTGCAGTGCCGTGCGCATTCCGGAAGGGTGGATTGGCGCACCCGGGCGTTTCGTGATGGAGCTCTCTCGCTGCCGCGGTGCGAAGCTATAGCACCGAAAGCAGAGGGGACTTGGGTGCTTGAAATCGCTGCCGCTGTGGCGCGGCGCGCGCTTTGGACATCGAAGTTGAGCCCATCGGAAGTGAACCCTCTGCGGGGTGTAGGTGTGTTGAATCGGCGACGCCGTGGCACAGTCTTGCGTGGCGCGGCGCGAATCTTGAACGTCGAACGCGAACCCTGTGCGGACTTTAGCTGGCTTGGGACGCACTCAAATCACAAACCTGGACCCGCAGGACCTCCTTGTAGAGCGTGCGCTCTACAGGTTCCAAACAGACAACTTGAAGATGTGGAGGATCCCCCGTGGAAGATCTACTGCGGAAAGAGGCTTTTCTCTGAGGGCAACTCTACAAATGTTTCTGTCGAAAGCCGTGGGCAACATCTTCGTGGAAGGATCTTTGCAGGATTTGTGGATAGGATTTGTTGCTAGGAGGAGATCTGTTTGCGCTGCACGCAAGTTCTCTGGTCAGGTTCTGTAGGGCGAGTCCTCTACGAGATCTTTCGACATGAAACCGTTGCAGCTCCGGCGCGCGACCTGTTGGGAGGATGTGTATGAGGGACCAGCGCAAGATATTTGTGTGGGAGCATCTTGACAGGATCTCTAGGTAATTAGAACCTCTTGAGAGAAAGCCCCCTACAAGCTTTCTGTTCAAGATTTGTCGAACTTTTGAAAGGAAATCTTTGGGGGGAGCTTTGAACATGCTTCTGTTTGAAGAGCGCGCGCAAGACCTTCTATAGCGACCCTGTGCGGTCATTTCAGGAAGTTTTGCAGAAGCAAGTGGGCTACTTTCATGTTACGCGCGTGGATTCCTGTCTCACAATATGTTCATTTTTCCCGGAAGCATTGCGAAGGGTTCTTCTTCTAAAAGCGGCTGCCAACTTCACCTGCCAACTTCTCATGCCAACTTGTCGAGAGTTACTTCACCTGCCAACTTCTCATGCCAACTTGTCGAGAGTTACTTCACCTGCCAACTTCTCATGCCAACTTGTCGAGAGTTACTTCACCTGCCTACTTCTCATGTCAACTTTTTGAGAGTTACTTCACCTGCCAACTTCTCATGTCAACTTTTCGGCTGTTATCTCATTCTACTAAAAGCACAAGCTAATTTGTCGGGTGTTACTTCACTATCCTAAAAACACAAGCTAACTTTTCTGTTCTACCTTCACTTCTCGACTCTTAATTCTTCTTCTTTTTCTGGCGGGGGTAGGCCCGACAGGAGCTTACGAAACGCACCCCTCTGCGGAGATCGTGCGTGTCGAAGCGCTCTCGCTGTGGCGCCGTGCGAATTTGTCTTGAGCGCGGCGAACCCTCTGCGGAGATCGTGCGTGTCGAAGCGCTCTCGCTGTGGCGCCGTGCGAATTTGTCTTGAGCCGGCGAACCCTCTGCGGAGATCGTGCGTGTCGAAGCGCTCTCGCTGTGGCGCCGCGCGAATCTGTCTTGGTCGCGGCGAACCCTCTGCGGAGATCGTGCGTGTCGAAGCGCTCTCGCTGTGGCGCCGTGCGAATTTGTCTTGACCTTGGCGAACCCTCTGCGGAGATCCTGCGCGTCGAAGCGCTCTCGCTGTGGCGCCGTGCGAGTTTGTCTTGAGCCCGATGAACCCTCTGCGGGGATCGTGCGTGTCGGATCGCTCTCGCTGTGGCGCCGTGCGCATCTGTCTTGAGCCCGATGAACCCTCTGCGGAGATCGTGCGTGTCGAAGCGCTCTCGCTGTGGCGCCGTGCGATTTTCTTGCTCGCGAAACGGCTTTTGGAAGTTGTCTCGTGGTGTGCGCGCCTGCTTTCGCAATCCCGCGGTCCCGGGTTCGATTCCCCCCTGGTCCGCGGCAGCTCCGGCTTGAAAATCGCAGCTTTTAAGTACAAACGTAGTACGCGGAGCGTGCTCCTGCAGCTCCGGCTGGAAAATCGCAACTTTTACGTACAGACGTAGTATGCGGAGCGTGCTCCCGCAGCTCCGGCTGGAAAATCGCAACTTTTAAGTACAAACGTAGTACGCGGAGCACACTCCCGCAACTCCGGCTGGAAAATCACAACTTTTAAGTACAAAAAACAGTACGCGAAGTACATTCCCACAGCTCCGGCAGCACTTGCTCAGAGCAACTTGCGCAGAGCAACTTGCGCAGAGCAACTTGCACAGAGCACTTGCACAAAGCACTTGCGGAGAGCAACTTGCACAGACCAACTTGCACAGAGCACATGCGCAAAGCGCTTGCACGGAGCAACTGGCGCAGAGCAACTTGCTCAGAGCACTTGCGCAGAGCAACTTGCATAGAGCGCTTGCGTGCAGCAGCTTGCAGAGAGGAACTTGCGCGCAGCAGCCTGGAACGATGCAGCTTGCGCAGACCACTTTCGTGAGAAATCGCGCGGCGCAGTTCGTGCAAAGCACATTGCGCCGAGCAGACTCGCGCAGAGCCAACTTGCACAGAGCCAGTTGCGCAGAGCCACTCGCGAAAAGTAGCTTGCGTAGACCCAACTTTCACAGAGCCAAGCTGCGCAGAGCCATCTTGCACAGAGCTAAGTTGCGCGAGCGTGCTTTGCAGAAACTGTGGCCGTCGTGTAAGCTTTGCTATTGATTGCTCTTCCTTTTGCTTGTAATTCGTTTCGAGCTTTACGAGCTTTACTCTTCTTGTTTTAACGGATGTAAATATGTGGGATCGAGCACTGCCATGTTTCCTCTCGTAGGACGATGAGATGGAGCTCTCATGTGACCATACGCATTGAGCATCGCCGCGCGCGGACACGCTCGCCGCAGCGATGTAAAAAGGTGTCTCCGCGGCTGGATGAGCACCTGGGGAAAAATGCTTTCGGGCCAATCGTCCTCTAGTTTAGTCACTGTTTGGGGTCACTCGCTGGGGAAGTCTGCTGAATTCGAGTTGAAGTCGTTTTCGGAGACGGTATGGAGGTGGATGACAACCCACATGGAACGACCAGCCCCAAACTCGAAGCACAAGGCAGGTGCAATATTAAACAGTGCCGGCCCAAATAGACAGCTGACATTTTTTGAAGGTCCCTTTCTTGGGTTGGTTGGGGACACCAAAACAACCAATCGTTTCAAGGTCCCCCTATCTTGACACCCACACGCACTCATGTGTGCATTGGATCCCCTCGAGCGCGGCGCTGAGAGCTTCCGGCGGAGGACGGCGCTCTTCGTGTCGGACGCGGACCGCACCGCGGTCTCGCGGCAGCCGAAGCCCAACTTCTCGGTGGACCTCCCGGCGGGATGCCAAGCCGGGCCGACCATTGCGGTCCAGTTGGAAAAAGCGGGCACCATTTGTTCCCTGTTTCTCCTTTTCGTCTTTTGGAGGTTTCAAAAACATCCGCTTTTGCAGACACAGACGCATGCACTGTTTGACAGGATTGAAGCACACGAACCGTAACTTTCATCATTGTTCCCTTGCTCCATACACGCATGCGCGCAATTCAGTGGCAGCCAGAGCATATTGCAAGTCGTGCTTGAAGACTTCAAGTATCTTCACATCATCAGCAATCTGATGCAAGCCCGATGTTCTTAGAAGCTTGGCCGCTGGGTTTATTGTTTTGATGAAGGTAGAAAGCGCAGGTCCAACCTCTTAAAGCCAAAGCTCAGGCGACAAGCCGTGTGTCGCGGCCGGGCCTATAGGCAAGGTGGGTGGCAGGGAACATTGTGGTTGGGTTTCTCAAAGAACCTTGCGGGGTTTCATACTTGAGTTCAGGCAGGTTGCTTTGAAGCCGCTCCGTGCTCGAGACTCGAGCTTTAGCTTCATTTGTTTGTCAACTTCCTTCGTTTTCGCCTCTTCGCCATGCGCCTTGCGTTGCTCCTAGCCGGCCTCGGCGCCGGCTTCGCCCTGCGGGACTCCGTTTTCAACGTGAACGATGACGTGAAGAACGCGGAGAAGCGGAGCATCCAGGCTCTGAGCTTCACCCCGACCAAGGAGCAGATCCGCGAGCTCATCGGGAAGAGCCAGGAAGCCGAGTGCGACCGGAAGAACAAGGTGGATGGGAGCCCCCTGCTGTCCAAGGTTCGATCGAAAGAAATCTAAGCGAAGGAAGGGAGGAATCTCAAATATCATTTGGGGGCCCATGACAGATCTGGGAATGAGACAAGAGCCAAACTGACTTGGGCCTTGCCGCTGGCCGAAATCCAGCCAGGTGGAGGCGATGCCCAAGAAGGCGGATTGGAACCCTTGGCAGACCATTTTGGCAACGCTGCCGGATCTGTGGCATGGCAAGGACAGGAGGTCCTTGCCATTTGCCAACTTTGTTTGTCAGGTTTCCTTTGGTGCGGGCATTGCTTTCCAGCTGCCAACTTGATCACAGGGTGGGCGGGAGGAAGAGGTTGCATCCCAACTCGGCCAACGGGGGTGGGACGCGGTGACGTTTTGACGCTCTGACGCAGTGAGCGCAGGAGGGGGGCCTGGCCGCGATGTACGATCTCCCAGTTCCTCTTCTGGAGACCTCGTCTGGGCCCAACGCGGTGCTGGTCAGCTGCGATAGCCCCTCCAGGGCAGGAGCGTTCTGCACCAGCCCCGAGGAGGGACGTCGAGTTGCGGACGAGGGTTTTGGAAGTTGGCTTGGCCGCCAAAACAAAGCAAGGGCTTTGAATAAATCCAAGGTGGAAGGGCTTGAGGCCTGCCAAGACCCTCTGTGGCAGCCCGTGATGTTCAGTGACCAATGGCGCAAGCGAGGGACAGTATGGCTTCCAACCTGCCAAGGAGCCGCGCATCAACCTCTTTTACGGGAGCGTCCACAAGACCAAGAACCTGTTGGACGAGCTTCGGACCTGGCGCTTGCGGCATGAGACTGAGATCTTCAATATGTTCCTCACGAAGCTGGAAATGGGCCTTAAGCCTGACTCGCCTCAGCACTTCAAGGACTGCATGCTCAGTTAGACATGCAGGGGCTGCCCAGGACCCTCCCTGCCTGACGCGCGAGGACTCAGTGGCCATGTTCCAGGCAGTGAAAAACTCGGGAAAGCCCTTCCGACGATGCGGGATCCACATCATGAGCTTCTGCCAGACCTGGATGAAGCGGGGCGAGGCAGGGTGCCACATGACCTTTGCTCTCTCGCCCAAGTTTCGACTTGTGTGTAAGAACCTTGAGTGGCAAAAAGGAGCGGCAAATAAGATTTGGCATGCCCGCTCAGGTGGGCAACGCGGAGTTCAGCGTCATGAGCCCCCACTTTCAAACCCGCTTTTCGGTGGCGGAGCCCGAGGTTCCTTGGACTTGATTTTGCAAAAGGCTCCACCATGAAGCCAACGGGTTCGCTTGTCAGAAGATGGGGTGTGATATGTTCCGCACACAGCCATCAACCCAATTCGTGGGGCTCAATGAAGAGGCTTGCAAGAGCGGATGTCTTTTAGGGATACAAGTTGCGTCCGACATCACTCACGGGATCATGGGCTTCTTTTGAGAACATGGAGGGAGTTCACATCTAAACAGCAGAACCTGTCATTGTCATGCATCAACTGGGCTCTGAGCACTGCCCTATCCGCGGAGCCAGTGTTGAGAGAGGCAGGAGGTGGAATCCGAATCAAAGGGCCGGGAATGAGGGGCAATGAGGCCGTCATACAGCCGCTCAGGAATTGGCAGCTGTGCCAGGGGTGACGCAGCAGCAAATGCTTTCTTATTCCCAGCTCCTGGATGAGTTTACTGAGAAGATGAAGGCAAAGGGTTACGAGGCACGTTGGGACAAAAGACTTTGCCTGCTCCAGCATTTTTGGTCGGTAAGCCATCGCTTTGGAGCCCAAAACTATGGCTAATTGTACATTAGTCAGTAGTTCACGCCGTTTGGTTACTTGGAGAATTCAGCGATCCTGAAGTCAGCAGCGTCAAAGGTATGCTTGTGGCTTGCCATCTGGTTTAGCACGGTTGTTGCGTTGCTTAGTATCGCCCATGGTGCGCTTCAGTTTGTTTAGGGGGCCTTCGTGAATCTGGAGAACATCGCCTCGCAGACGCGGCTGCTCCGAGAGGAGTGGACGCCTGAGCCTAGGAATTGCTAAGTCTGAGCGGTGCACGCGGCAGCCCCTTGGCTCCGACACAGTTTTCGCTGAGAAAGGAGGGTTGGGCTTGGCCTTCTTGGGTTGACTCGGGTTTGGTGGCTGCACAAGCCCGAAAAGACATCTGGTGGATGGCTGGTGCTTAGTGGCACGGCCAGCTGGAAGCTTGCAAGGCCAACAGCCAGAACAGGGTTCCGACATGCAAAGCTCGTTTCCTTTCATTGGGGGCGTTTTCCGCAAGTTCACCAGAACGGACTGTTTGTTTCCAAGCAGCATGCCAGGTTGCCGGGGCTGAGCTGTCGCGCAGCTTGGAAGGGTCACAGGCGGTGCTTATGGGGCCCGACTGTAGGATGGGTTGAACCACAGGTTGTTTTCATTTGGCAAGGGCATCTTTCGCATGTTCTCAACCAGTTTTAACCCTTAGGACGGATCCCGGGCGAAGCCCGGGATGTCACCGGAGGGCCGGCGCTCTGCCTCGGTTCGGGGCACGCCCAATGCGGGAAAAAAGGAAAGCAACAGGGGAGCGGCTGCTGCTCGAAGGTAGGCATCAGGCGAGAAACGCACTCACGCGTGAGAAAGCAGCATGCCATGTCTTGTTTCAACAGATCTTGTTGCTTGAAGATGGCCTTTCCGCTAAAATGGCTCGCGCTTTGCGCGACACCAGGCACAACCGGCCGCTTGCTTGGTCCTGTGAGCTCCAAAGAGGGCCTTGTCGAGACTGAAAGCTCCAGGAGGAACGACCTTGTGCTTTTTGCATGATGCTTCAGTGCAAGTTCCACAGGCCATGGTCATGTCAAAGCCCACCAGAAACAACCAGTGTGAAGCGTGCGTTGGTGCCTTGCCCACCTCCAAGCCCAACCTCCCCAAAGCTTCACAAGCTTCCGATGGGCTCTGCCGCCTCTGCGTCGCCGGCGCCCAGTGCCCGGGTGGTGTTGCAGTCGATGCAGGCCATGGGGTTTCGCACAGACAAAAAACCCAGGTGCCCGCCCCCTCCCCCCCCCCTCCAAAAGGAAGCCTCTTCTACAAATTGAGGAAAGCAGGAGAACCAGGTCAGGCGTCTAGGTTTTACGAGTTCATGCCAACACACTTGCACAAGGGGACTGAAAACAAACGGAAGCACCCTCAATCTCCCAGGTGGCCCAGGTGGCCACGTGCTTGAAAGGCGCCCTGCGTTTCAAACCGCGGAACGCAATCAGACTGAGAGGCTTCGCTGGCTTGACAGGCTCGCGTCAGCCAGTTGGAGGCCGAGAAGGTCGTCAGCGCCAAAGCCCAAGGGGCTGCGGGGTGGGAAACGATCAATGGCTGGGGTTGGAAGAAGCCATTCTTGGCTGTACTGGACGGCTCCTTGAAAGTGAAAACAGGCATCACTACAGACCAAGTCCATTTGATTGGCTCCGCTAGGACGGGGGATGTCGCGTCAGTTTTTCTCTCCCTCAGGAAGGCAGCTTGGGACGCTTGAAGGAGTGCCTTGAGGAGGCCCTCAAGGCCGACTAGGGGAAGTGGAGTGTCATGCTGACTCCCACCATTGGCAAGTAGCTGCTCCAAAGAGAACCATGACTGGTTAGCTTGAAGGAATGTCAAGTGGCTTCTGGCAAGAATCCGGCATGAAGCACGTCAAGAAAGCTAGTCAATGCCAAGGATCCGCATTGCTCGCGATGTACTTCCTGACCCGTGGTTCGAGCCCCTTTTGGGAGTTCACTTTTCGTTTTCCCACCAAGCCCCTAAGATCCCAAGATCACCCAAACCTTGGGATTCTTCAACTCTTGGAATGAGCCCGGGTTTGTCGCTTAGATGCCTGTCGGCTTTGACCGACAGCCAGGTCTGTCCCCGCGGAGATACTGGGTCCCGAGCAAGCGCTGCCATCCAGGAGCTCTCGAGGCAATGCGTTGCCATTGCCGAGGAGGCGCGGATCCGCGGATCCCGACGCGGCTCGGTGTTCCGACCTTGGGTGTTCCGGGCTTTTCGGCTTTTTCGGTGATTAGTGGATGAACAGTTTTGCAGTCGGCTGTATCGCAGGAGGCCTTTGTCAAGCAGCACTGTTTTGGCCATCTTTGCAATTGTTTCTCAGAAAAAAGAACGGGCAGTTTGTAGCCGTAGTCCGCTTGCGGTCGCTGTACCTCTGGATTGAACTTTACTTGGAGTTGCATGCGGTCATATCACGGTCTGACTTTGTGGGTTGCGCTAGCGGCGTCATTCGTGACGTGTTAGTTTCTCATTTTGGCGCATGTCATATCATCGCAGCACTGGCTCATGCGTTTTTCCTCAGACTGCTAGCCTTTGTGCTGTGTTTTGCTCCGTGTTAGTCGTGCGTCGAGTATGTAGATGTCTCGCGTCTGAACTGCAGTGCTTTTGAGGATTCCCTTTCGACTTTGCTAATCTTAGGAGTTCTCTGCCTTGCCTTTGGGCTTTGCAGACGTCACCTCCGGTGCCGGCGATAGGCGCTGCCGCTGTACGTGCGTGCGTGTACGGTCAGGGGCGCAAGTCGTAGACCAGACTTGGAGGCGCACGCGCGGCTATGTGCTTCCTACATGTTTCGTGAAGATGCTGCGAAGTCCGCAAAAGACTTGTGGCTTGCGCGTATTTCCAGACAAAAGGCAGTCCCATGCCGCTGTGCTGTTCGGGGAAACGTGCAGACCTCAAGGTGGCAAAAAGGACCAAGTGTCGGCATTCAGGTAGAGAACCTTGCACATGTTGACAGCAGAAGCCCAATCTGCTCTAACGCATCTTTGTGCCGCTGCAACAATGGGGAGCTCTCTTTATGCTGTTGAGGAACTCTGGTGGGCAAATGGTTGTGTAGACAGCCCGCGTGGGCTGCTCAAGAGAATCCAGCATAGGCGGGTTCACGTAGGCATGTGGCGTACGCTCGCGTAGGTTCCCTAATTTTGGCTCCGCGTAGGCATGGCGGCCAGTGTAAAGGGCCGATACACCCAAAAACAGCCTCTGTCAATTTGCTTGATCAAGCGTGGCCGCAGGCTTGCATCATTGTACATCATCCTAGCCATTGTTGGAGTGACTGCGGCAATGGGGTAACGTACATTTTAGCTATTCTGGGCCCATGCTAGGTGACATGTTGAGGGGATATCCCTTGCTTATGCATATGAATCCTTAACAACGGTAGTGTCTACCCTTGCTTGTTCTGCTTTGCACTATGCTTGATACACTGTCTCCAAGTAAGCACTCCCTGATATTTGGGTGCAGGATGAAGGGTCCCCTTGTCCTTTGCTGCGTAGCTGCACGGCAGGCGGGGCTCTTTTCTGCGGCCTGGCTGAACTGCCAGGGGAGGGTTTCCGGGCAAGCGTCAAGAGCACATGGTCAACAGGCCTCAGAGCTGCAGGCCAATGTGTCCTGCATGGTTTGAGGAAGACACCAGCCGTTTCTTAGCGTAAGATGTGTAAAGATGCCTAGCGTTGAGGCATATCCAATCCACGTTTTGTTGACGTCCCATAGCCTTCACCCCCAAACATATAATATTGCCTAGCATCATGCGCAAGTTATGTCAGACAAGCAAATGATACCCCAAGAAATTCCAAAGGATGCTCATCCGTCAAACAAACTGAACCAACGGCTATTTCGGCATCTGCACGCAACCCAACTTGTCGCAAGCTCATGAAATAGCGCTTGGCATGTTAGGAGGTTGTTGGTTCTTGCAAATTGCCGCTGCCCAACCTGCCAGCACCCTTCTTGCTGGTCACTATCCCTCCGAGGTTCCTGTTGATTTGCTGCTGGCAGTTTTCTTCGGCTTGAGCCGAGGTGGCTGTGGCCGAGCTGCTCTGCGAGGGCCTTGCTGCCGCAGCGGTGGCCGATGTGCTGGAGCCACTGGGGCCGGTGCTGGCACCTCGAAAGAGGAGTCAGGTCATGTGAGCCCAGTGCCCTTGTCCCTTGTGGGTGCGGGGTGGGGAGGAGTTGTGGTCCGAACCTCCCAACATGCCTTGGCAATTTCTGGTTTTCGGCCGGGGGCTTGCTTGCCAAGATTTGTGTGTGTGTGTATTCCTTGCATGGGCGACGGCTTGCCCGGCAGAAGTCATCCACCCCATGACAAGCCCATTGCAACTAGTTGTTACGATTTGCTGGGAGGATTGCGTTTCACATTGTTTTGTATTCTTTTCTAAAACCTTTGCCCGGTGCGCCTGGCAAGCTACCTATCCCGACTCAAGCTTCTTCTTGTCATACGCGGATGAGCATGGTTATCCATGCCATTGCTCGATTTCTTGAACTATTCTTATCGGTCGACTCAGATCGAGCAGAAATAGAAAAGGACGTCAGCCCATTCTTGCCTCATTTCGACTGCGCCTCAAGGGACTGTCTGGCTGGTCAACCTGTACCCTGCGAGTCTCCAAGTTCACCTGGCTTGGATTGGGCCACATCCCTCAAAGCGTTCCTTGCAAGGTACAAAGTGCCTTGGGCTTCCGTCATCTCCCACCTTCCCCTTTTACAACTTTCATCTAAGCAGCCAGCTGCGGCGCAGTACTTCGCCAATTTCCTGTAGAGTTTCCCGTAGCTGGCTTCTATGATTTCAATCTTTCCAGTTGGCAAAACTTACACTTCCCCGTGGCTGGGAAACCCACGAAGCCGATGGGTTCGTTGCCGAGGATAGCTTCGCGGTGCAGATCATGGCACCTTAGCGACGCAGAGGCTTTGGGATTTGGTAGTTGGTTGTCAGTTTGGCTTTATGGATTTTGATTCTTTCCGATTTGTTATCATGTTGGCTTGTTTGCCGCCCTTTTAAAGTTTTCAGATGCGCCCGTGCTTGTCTTGGGGCCTAAGTCTTAGGGCTTGCCTTGACAGCCTTGCGCAGGCAGACACCAGGTGTCACCAGGTGTATGCAGATGGGTGTGTCTTTTTTGAGGCTGCCGCTTTTAAGGAAATGGTTTCAACCAAAATCAAAAGCACAATCTCTATTGTTTTCTTCTTATTCAGTGGGTGGCACGGGGGCTATTTTCAGACACCCCCACATTTTTTTCCAGTTCGAACATATCATAGGACTGACTGAGCCTTGTGGACCTTCAGCGCTTCACAGATCCTTCGGGCTTGAACTTTTCTCTAACCTTGCACGGAGTACACAGCTTGCTGTCTGCACGCAGAAAACTCATGGCAAGACCACATTTTTGTTTGTTCGAAGGGGCAACAGCGGTTCTGTTCCGAGATACCCTCCCACCAACTAACATGGAAGTGCAAAAGGCCCTTTCCAAGAGGAAAGTAGTCTTTCTACAGGGGTCTGTGCACCCCACCATGTTAGCTGGTGGGGTGGTTTTGAGCTCTGCAAGCCTCACTCCTAAGCGCCTGGACTGCCCTGAGCCTTGAGCTCTCCCGAGGCCAGCCTGTGGCGCCGGCACCTCAGATTTCGTTTTTTTTTTTTGCCAGAAGTCGAGGAAGCCGTCCATTGACTTTCTCGAGGGGGCCAGGTGTTTCAAGGCTCAAGCAAAGAGGCCAAGGCCAGCGCTGGATTGCCATGGTTTTAGATGTTCTGAGAGTGGTGGGTAGTACGAGCGCAGGGTGCTGAGAGAACCCAGAATGAACATGACAATCCCCTCAAGAGGACCTTGGACCTTGGATAGGGGGCAACTGCCCTTCAGGCCTCGATGAAAATGTCCAGCCAGAGTGGAGCCTCGAACGCTTCGGGCGCCCGGGGAAGCTGTGCTTCGCGGACAGCACCCAGCCCTTCCAGAGGCGAAGCCCGCTGCAGTTTGCTTCTGAAGCTGCATGGCTCGAGGTTTTCTTTGGATCAATGTTTCTTGCCAGTGTTCTGTTTTCATGGAAGCCGGCAGCATGCCACTGCTGAGATTTTTCTTGTCCTTGGAAGGAGTCTCTTTTGCCATTGTTCCTTGCGAATAGAAGCTAGCAGCTTGTGACGCTTGAGATATTGCTTCTGCTAGACATCTGTCAAAACAGTGGCGCATCGCAGTCAGACGTTCCCTTGCGCTACTGTCTGTGTTGCATTTGTCCTGTGTGGCCCTTGCTGAGCACCACACATCCCTTTGACCATCGCCCATGCGAAAGGATTGCAGCAGCTGCAAACATCAGCGCCGGCAGGAACAGCAACTTCAGTAGCGCCAGATACTTTTGTCTATTTCCATACACAAATAGACTGCCACTCAGTCTCATCAGGGGTTTGGCGCCACGTCCATCCTTGAGCAACCCGTGTTTTTGGGTGGCGGTTTGCGAAGGCACGCCTTGGATCTGCGGCTCCACCAGGGGCTCCAGGGCGTATGCGCCTGGGTGCTTGCGCTGCTGGTGCGGGCCATGGAGAGTGGCGCCGTGAGCTGAAGGGACGAAAGGGAAGGCGGGATTCCAGAAAACCTCAAGAGAAGACAGAAGGAAACTTGCACACTCAAATGACAACAGCCCCTCCTCTGCTGCTTTTGGGCCTGACCCCCTCCCCTAACAAGATAGCGCCGCACATTTAGTTGCACTGAGCGAGTCTGCAAAGCATTCAAACAGGCCCCTTCGTTTTGCGGCACATTCCAAGGCTGCTAGTCCACAGTTGGCCCCCGTGTCCTCTGATCCTTGCCTGGATGCCAAACCCCACCAAGCAGCAAAAGGCTATGATACATTTCCGGGTGATCGTTTTGTTTCGGTGTTCCGTGGAACTGCCAGAGAGGTTGCCCGAGTTGGGGGCAAACAGAACGGAAGTGCCCAGAAACCGCCATGCAGTATTATGCTTGCACGGGAAGCATTATCAGAGGACGCGAGAAGCCGAACAAAGGAGCTTTGCCTGTGTGTGTGTGTTTTGTGTTTGTGCGCGTGTGTAAAAGGGGTGTCGGCAGAGCACGGAGGAAGATCCTTGCTCTTGACCTTGACATTCATCTTGCCTGCCGACCAGTGAAGCTGAGAGCCAGCGGAAGGAGGAAAAAAGCTTCTGTGTGTGTGTGTGTGTGTGTGTGTGTCTGTGTTTGTTTCCCTACTACTCCCAGATCTGATTGAGGCGCCGTGGCTGGAACGGGGTCTGCTGCGCACCTCTGGGACTTCGTGAACTGCGACGCCCTCTGCGCTGTGATCTTCGGCAAGAGTGCCCTGTGCTTCCAGCAGGGGTGCCGGGAGACGGCCTGCGTGCGGATCCCCCACGACCTGCCGAAGCCACCCGGCTCAGAAACGCCAACTTGCGCGTGGCATTTTGGACGTTTCTGACGGCCGCAGTTTGCAAGTGTTGGTTAAGCGGTGATATTACCTTGCAGCCGAGCGCAGTTAAGCGCTCATCTCTTGGCCAAAGGAGGCTCGGCAGACGGCGTGATCTACTCGGACTACTGCAGTGGACTCCAAATCTCCGGTAGTTTTGTCTCTATGATGTTGAATTGTGGAATAGGCTTTGATTTGCTTGCATCGCCTGTTCTTTTCTGGCCAATTTTGACCAACCCCTTGTGATGAGCCAGGAGGAATCTTAGGGCCCCAGGGTGCACGGGTGCTATTCAACAAACGACGTACATGTTGTCGTGCATAATCTTCTATTTACTTTGATCTATATTACAATGCCAATATGTATATATATATATATAATACATTAAGCTTTGACGCCCTGGCAAAAGTGGACGGGCTTCATAGACACTCTTGTCGATGGCCCCGTCTCTCGCGCTTGAGGCTGCGCCGGGCAGTGCTGGTGGCGCTGCTGGGCCTCCACAGTCCCACCATCGCCTTCCATGCGGACGCAGACGCGGAGGACGTGAGCATGGCGCGGCGCAACGAGGAGCCGCAAGTGGAGGGCGGACAACGGCAGGCTGGTGGACCCGTTTGAAGGCAGAACATGCCGTACCGCAGGGAAGCCATCTTAATCAATAGGCCCGGGGCGTGGCCAGCGGCGTGTCTGTCGCCTGTGCCGTATTATTTTTTTGTGGAATGACGCAACGCGTGGTTCTTGTGATTTTGGTTTGCTTTTGAATTTAGGACATCCATGAGAGCAAGTGGGCAGGAGCTGAGTGGTGCAACCGGCAGTGCCCTTTCCAGGAGCTTCTGGCGCACTGCGCGCTGCTTGCGGCCGTGGCGCAGGAGAATGGTCTCCTGGACACGATCCTCGCTTTTGACTGGGCCGAAGCTCAGAAGCTCAGTTCGCCAGACATGCGACCGCCCGTTTTCCAGCCTGCTCCTTGCAGATTGGTATCTGGAAGTTCGGGAATTGGAAGCTTGAGGCATGCCAGGAGCATGGTTTGCGGATTATGTGTTCTGAAGTACTTGAGCGGTTGCTAGGTGCTCTTTCGGATAGGTTGCAATGAGTCCCTTGAGAAGGCATCAGGTTGCCAGGGACGAAGCATTTGTTGGTGAAGCTAGTCCACACTAGTCCGCAGGAACTAGCCCGAAACATTCTTGCACGCAGGGTGGAAAACGCCAGCCTCTTGCACAAATGCAGGACGGGACAGGTTGGTTGTTAAACCGATAATACATACGCCTTCAAGCAGACCCAGTGAGCGACACTGCGCATGACCATGGTTCTAGCCCCCAACCTCACAATCACTTCTCGCTTGGCATCTTTTCTGCCGTTGCACACTTTTCTTGCCGCGGCAATGCACTTAACCGCAAACAAGCAGTGCACCAGAATGCATTCCAAGCAACCACACCCATCCCGTGCTTAAAGGACAGCATCCAGTGCTTAAAGGACAGCATCCAGTGCTTAAAGGACAACATCCAGTACTTAAAGGACAACATCCAGTGCTTAAAGGACAACATGCAGTGCTTTAAGGACAACATGCAGTGCTTAGAGGACAACATCCAGTGCTTGAAGAACAACATCCAGTGCTTAAAGGACAACATCCAGTGCCTAAAGGACACATCCAGTGCTTAAAGGACAACATCCAGTGCTTAAAGGACAACCTCCAGTGCTTAAAGGACAACATCCAGTGCTTGAAGGACAACATGCAGTGCTGAAAGGACAACATCCAGTGCTTAAAGGACAACATCCAGTGCTTAAAGAACAACATCCAGTGCTTAAAGGACAACATCCAGTGCCTAAAGGACAACCTCCAGTGCTTAAAGGACAACATCCAGTGCTTAAAGGACAACCTCCAGTGCTTAAAGGACAACATCCAGTGCTTGAAGGACAACATCCAGTGCTTAAAGGACAACATCCAGTGCTTAAAGGACAACATCCAGTGCTTAAAGGACAACATCCAGTGCTTAAAGGACAACATCCAGTGCTTAAAGGACAACATCCAGTGCTTAAAGGACAACATCCAGTGCCTAAAGGACAACATCCAGTGCTGAAAGGACAACATGCAGTGCTTAAAGAACAACATCCAGCGCTTAAAGGACAACATCCAGTGCTTAAAGGACAGCATCCAGTGCTTAAAGGACAACATCCAGTGCTTGAAGGACAACATCTAGTGCTTGAAGGACACCATGCAGTGCTTAAAGGACAACATCCAGTGCTGAAAGGACAACATCCAGTGCTTGAAGGACAACATCCAGTGCTGAAAGGGCAACATCCAGTGCTTAAAGGACAACATCCAGTGCTTGAAGGACAACATGCAGTGCTTAAAGGACAACATCCAGTGCTGAAAGGACAACATCCAGTGCTTGAAGGACAACGTCCAGTCATTAACACATCACGAGAACAAAGAACTCCGCTGGCTGACTGAGGAGAGCCGTGACCTGGTCCCGCTGCTGGGTTCCCAGCTTGCGGCCATGGCAGCTGCCTCCTCGGCCTGCGTGCCGGATCTGCAGGAGGCGGTCGTGGAGTTCCTGGGGCGGCTGAGGCTCAGGCGAGGAGTCCAATTTCACTCCACTTCCCTCAATTCTTTAGGGCACACAACTTGAGTCATTTGGCTTGGTCTCGGCATAGGGACAGCTTTTGGACAACATGGCTTTTTGCTCCAACAGTTTCATCAATCTTCAGGCGCGACAAAGAGGGTTCAGCCGGCCTGGCCGTTTCATGGCAGAAGGCGAAAGTCTTTGGCGCTGCCAGCTTGGAGTGCGCCGTGTTGCTCCAAATATCCAATGCAGGGATGCAACTTGAATATGCCCCCCTGATTACAGTAAACCAGATCGTACTGTTACTATTTTTGTGGGCAAATATCGCATGGCAAAGTTACATGAACATGATTAGCAACAGGAACATAGTATGACCTTGCACATTATTTTCATGCATGCTGCAGTGATTGATACAGGCCGATTAAATGCCTGTGAGAAACATTCATTTGAGACTCGAAATATAGCACCAAGACAAGGGCTCAGCGCCAACAGAATGTGCTGTTGTAGCTCTATTCATAGCAGGACATGTATGAAGAGACTGCTTGTTTGCATTTCTGGCATAGTCGCCTGTTTGGATGAACAGTACGGGCAGCAGGATTCAAGGGAATTTGGTATGTCCGAAAGGCCACCATGAGAAAGTAGCTCGCGCTGCTTGGGCACGAAAATTGGGGCTTCTCTTGGTATTTGGGGAGCTGTTTGGACACAGTTTGGGGGCGATGCAATTTCTAGATTCGAACAACTCGAGGTTTTTGAGGTTTTTAAGGATTTTGGTGCATGCCTCAAGACATTGCCAACATTTAGGAAATTAAGAGTACACAGACTGCAGCTTTCCTACCTCCTGAAATGATCCCAAACAGACTTACATTTCTCAGGCCTAAAGCACAAGAAGTGGGGGTATGACTCAGGGTTGATCCCAGCACTTGAGTCTTTGAACGAAAGCAAAACTTGCTTCTTGCAGAATGCAGGTACAGGAGGTGGGTCACAAAAGTTTGCAAAGAGAGATATGACATCGAACGACGTTGGTTGTTTTCCCTTGAAACGGCGCGTGGTCGGGGTGTATATCCACTCCGAAAAAGTACAATCACACGGTCCGGTGGAAAATCCTGACCGTTTCATTTAAACCTTGCTGTGTTTCTTTGTGTCTGGGGAGGGGCAACGGAGGTCCGGAATCATTTGGGACATCCTGAGCTTGCAGCCCTGCCCTACCCGGAGCTTCCTGCGGGACTGTGCGCGCCTCGCCTACTATGTGCCGCCTTCGCAGGAGAGCCACGGGTCGGGGGGGAGGCTGACACCTACCGTTTTAGAAGGTCGGAAGGATCAAACATTGGGAACCGGTGTTGTGCTAGCCCCGGCCGCGGCTTGTTGGATAGATGGTCCGGGTTGCCTGGCCGCATCCCCAGCATCCCCAGCATCCCCCTCCAATCCTAAAGCCAAGCCGCACACCTATGCGAAAATCAGCCCCAAGCCATAAAACCCGCCCCACTAGCCGAAAACTCGTGCAACCACATCCCTAAAGCAACCTTAAAGCCACTGCTAAACCAGCCGCAAACGAGCGAAGCAAGGGTTCCCAGCCAACCTGTTTAGAGGCGCATGAGGGAACCGGGGCTAGTAAAAAGCCGTGGCCAGAAAAAAAAGGCCTCAACCCAAGCTTGACCCAGATGTGCAGAAACGTGAATGTGAAGGCTACTTGCTGGTCATTTGCTCCTTCAGGAAGGGAATTGTTTCCAAAGTGTTTGTGAGGAGTTCCAAGTGAAGGTTTGCGCAATTTGTTTGGCGAGAAACAGCACATGTGAATTTCACTGATGCTAAGCGACAAGCCTCCGCAATGTTCTGTAAGGCTTGCGAAAGATTCGCCAAGAACCCTGGAACCACCGCGAATCATGGGCAGCCTGAGCAACGAGGGTTTTGTGCTTTCTTCGTTTTGTCCGCGTTTCCCCCCCCCCCTCCGCCGGCAACCCACAGCTTGAACTTTGACCCATGGAGAGTGTGTGAAAGCTAAGCCCATGATCTAAAATGGATCATACAGGCTCCTTTGGCTTTGAGACCTTGTACTGGTCTCACTCTATAGTCACAGTTGCTACCCACAGTTGCTACCCGCAGTTGCCACCCGTTGCCACCCACAGTTGCTACCCACAGTGGCTACCCACAAGTGCTGCCGAAGCCATCGCTATTTCTACTCACACTTTGCTCGCCACATTTACTATCCACGTTTATTAAGTCCTTACTAAGGAGATTGTCGGCCCAAGGAGCTGGCGCTGCACCTTGCGGCCGACGCCATGTCTGGGCCGCTGGACGCCACCATGATGGGGGCCTCCTGTGTGCTGCTGGCCAACGCAGGATGTGGGAATGGGCAGCTGAGGGGCTGTGGAAAACATACGAGGCCTTTCGGGACGCGGGCAACTTAAATGGTGCCGCTACAGGGATGCTTGAAGGGAAAAGGGAGTCCACAAGTTTGATAACAGTCCAAAGAGCGTTCCATGGGCAAACGTGCTGACCAGCGCTGTTTCCAGCTGGTTTCGAGAATCCTGATGTTCTGCGCCCCGAATCAGCCCCTTGCGTTTCCTGGCCTGAAGTTGCATGACACTTTCAGTGGTAAGGTGAAAATGTGCTCTGTGGAGGGCAAAAGAAAATCAAGGCAACAAGCTACGTGCCAGGTTTCGTTGGTTGACCCCATTGTGTTGCAGAGCACAGGTAGCTGTGAGCAAAATGCGTCAGCAGCCTTCGATTTCTACTTCCCATGTCCGAACAAACCCTCGTTTTCTCCAGGGGTTAGTCCAGCGGCTGCCGGACTCTTCGTGCAGCACCTATCGGAGCTACCGGAAGACCTCCGGGAGCAGGTGAGGGGCTTCATCTGCCCGGCCAGCTGTGCCGTGGGCCAGGCGCAACGCGAGGGGCGTGCGACGGGGGGGAGCGTATGAATGCTCGCCCTGCGGCCCTGGGCAGGCCAGAACGGAGTGGCTGGGCTTCTTTGGGAAGGCAGAGGACAAGAGGACGGATGAGCGGTACGCGTCATATTCAACTGGGAAGTGCGGCGAAGGATGTACACTGTGGAGACATTTCGCACCGAGCAAAAGCAAAGGGGATGGTGTGCGGAGGTTTGTATCCAAGCTTCAAAGTCGAGCGAAGGGCATTCTATTCATTTGAGGGCACCCTTGGAGCAGGAGCCCAACCCTTGCAAAGGCGGCGGCGCGGGGAAACGGTGTGGATCCTTGACGGTGCATTCGATTCGCATCACCTTTGCACCAATGCTCAACACGGTTTCCCCCTGTATAAACATTGCCTTGCCCTCTTTTTTTCAACACGCACAATGCGATTTCTCCTTCAGGCAAACTCTGAGCCCAACCAGCCTTTGACTCCCTTCCATTTTTGGAAGGTCTGACCGCAACCTTTCAGCAGCAAAAACGCCAAGGCACCGCCACCAAAGCGTCACTCGAAGTGCCCAGCTCCGAGTGCCCGAGGGGCACTCCCCGAGGACGGCGCCGCCGGAGAGGGCGGCCGGTCCCACGGGGCTCCGAGAGCTGCTGACGGAGGTGCCGCCGGAGTTCCGATGCGCGCTGGACGGCAGGCTCTGCGATGGGAATGGTGTGGGATGGGCGGGGTGGGGGGGGGGGGGGGGAGCGGGAGGAGGGGGGAAATTTTGCTTGTTTAACTGTGTTGTGAATGAGTCTGAATGGATGACGGGGGGGAGCCATGGGCATGTTAGTTGTTCCGCTAATGTTCAGTCGTTTGACTGAAGGCCTCGTCACGGTTTGTGGTTTGGTTCTTTGTCTTGGTTTTCGAAGTGCAACAGGGTAGAGCCTGTTCTTATTACCTACCGCAGCATCATGTCACGTTAGGTGGTTTTCCTCCCTAGTAGGACATGAGCATTCTTTTGACCACGCCGGTAGGGCGAATAAAGAACGCGCTCAGTAGGAGCCAAGGGGTGGAGAGCACGAGGAGAACTGGGCAGGCCTGTGCCAAATGGTTAAGACAGAATTAAGCATGTGCACCAAAATCCTCGCAGTCGCCTGGAAAACCGCCAGGGAGGAATGCTATTTATGATTGTCAATGGTATGTATATGTGCACAAGCGCATGCGAATAGATTTATGAACTACATGATGATGGTTGATGTTAACACATGCATTTTTTGCTTGCGATGGTGCTCATATGAAGAGTGCGTTGCAATATGCACGCACACACGTCCTATTGCATGATGCTTTTTCATGTGGTGACATATGGCCGGCCATGTTTGTTTCCCTTTGTTTGGCAAAGCAGGGAGGGTTCCAAGCAATCGGCCCTGATTCTATCTGGACTTGTGGACAATCTCGAGGAATTCAGCAAAGATGGCTGGGCAGAGGGAGATCAGCCAATATCCAAAAGAAACGTCCAAAGACTCGGAAGTTGAACTACTGAATTGCCCGAGAGTCGCGCAGTTTGACAGTTCCAGAGCAAGCCACTGATTTCAAATGCGTCCGGCAGGCTCTTGGTGGACCCAGTGAGGGCCCCTAGCGGACGAGTTTACGAGCGCTCCGTCTTAGCTGCTGCACTCGAGAGAGGATTGGGCGTCGTGCCAAGCCTTGAGGCTTAAGTCGCTTTGGCCATACCCACAGGGAGCCTTGCCGCAGGAGACCCGCGGCTTCACTCGGGCACGCCCTTCGCCTTGCAGGACTGCAAACGAGATGCAGGCGCAGAGACTTGCTGCGTAGTGCGACCATGCCAACTGTATTGCCACCAGGGTGCAGATGGCATCTCTTTTCTTCAGTTCAATCAGGAACCTGTCTGCTCTGTGCCGTTCTCGGCAGGTCTTCGGGCAAGCATCGTCGAGTGGGTGCGGAAGAGTCACGCGCGCGAGAAGCAAAAACAACTATTATTTTGGCCTTGCATGTCCGTATCTTTTGGGAGGGGAGTTGGTTCTCCAGGCCAGCCTTTCTGGGGACGCATCACAATCTGCTCTGCAGGCAGCTTCGCTTTGACTTGCCCTGTTTGGCTCAGATTTGAGCCAACAAATTAACTCAAGGCATCATCCTACAAGCTTAATTGAAAGTTCAAATTCTGACAAAGCGAGCTGTTCTGTGTTTACGTTCAATCTGGAAGGCTGGTCTACGCTCGTCTATGGAGCATGCGAGTCATGGACACCTCTCAGAAGCCCCCCCCAACCACCAACTCCGAACGATTCTCGGCGCCCTTCGGCGGGGCTCCGTGCAATGTCATGCTCGCCCATGTCGCCAAGGCGCCTGGGGTGGGAAAGACCCGGCAAGAAATGTCCCTGGTCTCAATCTTGGGATGCCTTACTTCAGATTGGAAGAGCTGTCTGGGTGAGGGTTTGCAGTCACAGAGGCCATTGGACGGTGGGCGCTACTTTTGAGACGACGGAAACAGCTCTTTCAAGCTCCCTCGTGTCGGGAAGCAGCGGACGCATTTCATCATTTCGTAGCGAGGAAGAAAGGTGCAATCGGCTCCCTGCAAGGCCCTTCGGCCTGGAGGCATAGGGTCCCGCCGGGCCAGGGATAAATGGATGGGCCAAAGGAACCTATCGTGCGGAAATATCTATTATGGGGACAAGGTCTTGGATGAGTGCCAAGAATGTTTTTTTCCTTTTTTTTCCCTTTTTTTTCTTTTTCTAGGGGTAATCACTGAGGCCACAGACTTTCATTGCCCATGAGTCCATGATTTTAGCCATGGGCCACCATCCCATCGTGCCTGCACCCTCGGTGTCTACTATGATGAATGACTCTGCATGCATGAAAGCACGCTCCTTAGCTTGCCTATGTTCCTTAGTCCGAACAAAGAAGCGCAGCTGTACATCAAGCTCCTACAAGAGTTACCCTGTTGAGAGAGGGCCACCTTGGTCTGCAAGCGCGACTCAACTGCCCTGTGGCCAGATTCGGAAGAGGATCAATCACGTATTCACTGGCATCACTTTGTGCGACCAGAACTGCTTGCATCGTTTTGCCAGATTCTGGTTCAAGCAGCTGATTTAACTCCGTTCTGAGCTTGCTTCAGCCATGCCCCTTGCCTGCACAAGAGCTGTCAGAAAGCAAAGCTGCGTGTTGGATCACAGCTTGGATGTACTCCGCGCTGTTTGGCTTCTATTTCTTGTCCCTGCGCTGTGTGTGTCCTTGGCTTATGCATCATCCAATCTGGTTCTTGTATCCATAAAACAGGTGCACAAACAAACAAACACACACACACACATACACAGGAGGTCACCACTTTCGACGGTGCTCGCGTTCTCACCTTCGGCCTTGGATGCAATCTGTCGCATCTCAGCCAATGCCAGCTCTGCTTTGCGCACACTTCCTGGCATATTGTTTTGGTGTGCATCTGAATCACGGTGCCGGTCCGAGTGGCTCTTTGAACTCGGTGAGAGGATCTCTCGCATGGATCTGATTATGCCAACACACTGCCAGGTGGTTTCCGCGGTTAACTACTTACAGAGCTTTCAGGCGACCCTGTGGTAGCTGCCTTACTGGGTAGGGTGTTTGGAGAAGCTGGAGTAGCTTGATGTGTGGAAGGTGCCTTTGGGGCGACCAGCGGGTCATAGCGGGTCTCACAGTTTCACATCCGCTACAGGAAAGCATCATCATCGTCATCATCCTTGATAGGTGATGCTTGTGTAGCTTCCATTCCCCAAGTTGACTCCACAAGTCAGACCGCGATGAGCTACTTACACTTTGACTTACGGTGATTTGCTATTGCCCAGTATCAGGGCATCGTTTCTATTTAAGATGATTGAACGGCACAGTACAAGGAAACACATGGTGCATTGGCCTTCTCTTCTTCACGCGTTCTCCACTTCAGCCATGACCAAAATCCCACGACATGGCATTCTCCTCCAGACGGTAGACGGAGGAGGGGAACTGATTGTCATGATTTGCCCCACCACCGATGTTGCCCCGACTGTGACCGCTTGCGACCGAGGGCGTCCCTGACCCCTGCGCTCCGCGGCCTGAACCGGCGCCTCGTCCCGGCCGCAGCCGTGCAGCGGAGATTCTTGAACCTCCACGAGTATCAGGCACGTGACTTCGGGTCATTTTGGCGATCCATTGTGCAGGCGAGAAGTCGTGCTTGCTGCTCTGTGTGTTTGCGTGCGTGCGTGCATGTGTGCGTGTGTGCGTGTGCCTTGAAATTGGGATTGGACCCAAGAGTTGGAGGTTTCCTTCAATGGTGGAAGCCTTGGTCCCGCAGACAGAAGCAGCCTTGCAGCTTTATAAGAATTTCACGTCCTTGCCTATCCTGGGTTCGTCAGAATTGCGGGACACTATCGTTGCATCTCTACCAGGGAAGCGCATTGGAACCGTTTGGATGGTGGTTCACACGGAGCATAGGACATGCAAGGCACGTGTGAACGGCGAGTCTGACATTTTGTTGGTTTGTTTGTAAGCTTCTATAATTTTGATAGGATGCGCTGAGCAAACTTGCAGAAGATGAACTTGCAGCAGGCTCACTTGGGGCTAAGCAATGCCTTACATTTAAGCGAAAGCAGTCATCGATCCAACCAAGGCACAGTAGCTAGCGGGAAGATAGAATCTTGGATTTGGCAGAATGCTTTTTGCAGATAATCCAAAGCCGTTCCACTCATGGGCTTCCTTTGACAAAGGGTGCTGGTCCTTTTGCAAGATTCTTCCCCTGGGAGCTTGCATCAGGTGTTCAGGCAACAGCGAATTCTGTGGTCAGTCGGGCCAACGATGGCTGAAACTGGTCGAGCCTGCTTGAAATCAGTACTCCACGAATATTGAGATCCAGTGGCTGAGCTTGCACGCCCAGATTTCTTCAGGATTGGTGGGGCATTCGCACATTTTTATTTTATTTTTATTTTTAACAGGCACGCGGAGCTGACAAGGGTGCAGGTTGCTGCGATCCGGTTCGCTTGTCGGCACTCGCGTAACACGCATCCAGGCCCAGGAGATTTTCCAGAAGCGGCCTGACCGAAATCCGATGGGTTGAATCGAGTGGCAGCTGGGTGGACCGCCTCCATGAGAACCTCCTGCGTGCGAAAGGGACGGTTTGTTAGGCCTTTTGTCATTGTCCCGAGAAGTGAATCTCAGGGCCCAACATCGGATGTCCAATTGCCGCTAAGGAGGTGACTTGAGCCAGCTTGCTTTTGCATGACGCAGCATTCTTTGCACCAAGATTGCTGTCACATGTTCCTGTGTTTTGCTGTCTGACATCCGCCAATAGCCAGGGCCAGTACTTCAGTAGCCAAGGCTATTGTAGAGATTATTTCCCAACTCAGGATGGCCCTAGTTTGGCTTTCGCCTTCTTTTCCATTGCAGTTTGCCAGAAACGTATCAGGAACGAACTGCCACGGTTGCCAACACTCCGCATGCTGAAACACAGCACTCATCAAGCCACCATAAGTATGATTCAAGGAGCTACGGCGCGATCCACTCTTGACAAAGAATATTCCAACCCATGCAACTTGTGTCCACTGCATAGTCTCAGTATGGAGCTTCTTCGGTGGTTTGCTCCCTGTGCTGGAAAATTCAATCTGGGCCACAAGCACGAGCACCTGACTAGGGTTGGCCAAAACTTCCCCATGAGTCTCATTCACCATTTAGACATTCAAGGTCAACGGGGAGCAAAATCAAGCCTTCGTTACTTCCTTTGCGTGTCGCGCCACGGAGCCACATGGGCTTGCCTTCAAATTGTGGACTACCACCAACCATAGTGATATGTTTTCGTTTCCCTTTGAACCAACCCGGCAACCTCAAATAGAGTACTGTGCCCTCAAAACGATATCGATACAAGTTCAACGTGAGGCTCACTTTCAATCTCGGCCGGGAAAGCCAAAATTTTCGTGAGTGATGCTTTGGGCAACCAGTGCTTCTGCTTGAAGAACACCAGACAGCTTTCATGAATCCAAGATATTGCACGTATCTCACTGTTTGTTTCTTCTCTCTCTCTCTCTCTTATGAAACAAGTGCATTTGTGTACTATTCTCCCATGTACATGCAAAAGTTGGGGCGTACTAGGGCAATCTGCCCTTCAACACAACATGGGCACGGGCGGGCTCCGTACTGCATCTCCGTTTTTCTCCAGAGGCATTATTGCCCAATGCCGGGGGGTTTTCAACCTCTTGGCTACCCACTCAAAGCACATTTGGCCAATCGATGTTACCTCGGCCCACCAAGTACGGCTCCAGGCCCAAAGCGGAAATCTGCGTGAGCGCGAGCTTCGGAGAATCACGCGTTGGCTTGTGACGGGACACATCTTCTGCGGCGAGCACGGCCTTTGCTGAGGTTTGGGGTGGGGGTGCCGAAGAACCTCCCGGCCTTCTCCGTGAGCGAGGCAGTGGAGAAGGCCAACGAAATGCCCGGGGACGAGGTCGTGGCGGGGAGCTCACGGGAGCTGAAGCGGCTCGTGGTTGCTTTAGGTTTGTTTCAGCTCACTAGAAGTGTGTGCATAATTCAGCTACACATTCTCAAGCGATCTCTCCATGGTCTCGGTGTTTAGTCACATGACCAGATCTTTGGCGATTTGCCCCTGGATGATTTGGGTCACGGGGTCACATCCGGAAAAGCGTACCACACGAGGTGATCCCTCCTTGGGCTTCCGTTCTGAGTTCTGAAAGCAGCTCGATGGAGTCTGAGGTCAAGGCGCAGGTCCTGGCTGGCGGCCGCGGCTTGGGGTACTTCAAGGCTGGGGATATTCAGCGCAAGACGTGGGGTGTAGGCCTTGAGGCCGAAGGTCCATAGGCATTGACGTGTGAGAGGTAGGGGGCTTTTTCAGGGCTCTCCAGCGGATTGTGACACTTTAAGTCAGGAATCGGTTGGCCAAATGCAGCATGTGCAGGAGAACAACTTCCAGGGCGGCGTTCACATTGTTCCCAAGGCCAAGGTGGCTGAGATCGCCGAGAAGATGCTGAACAAGACGCAGCTTTGACTTGCTACAGATGTGGGAATGGTCGAATAAGTTGGACCCTCCTGCCAGTGGCTCTGACAGCGACAAGGATTTGCCGTGACAATGCCTCAGCAGCGCAGCCAAGCAACCACGCCCAGTTGAAGTCACTGAGCAAGAAGCAAGTGTGCAGCTTGGCCATCGCGAGGCTCATCACCAAGCAGACCGGGGAGGAGGGCAAGCCCAACAACACGCCCGGCACCAAGCGAGTCAGCCAAAAGAGGCAAAAGAGCTGTGTGGCTTTAGCCCAAGTGTCGCGCACACAGATGGGGATGGGTCAAAATTGAACCACCACAAAGCCGCAGGTTTTTGTCATTGCCCCACCCGGAGACGCGCATCCATCCCTTTCTTTCGATCGGACCTGGGTCAAACTCAATCGAACCTCGCCTCAAGACAGGCTGCTGCTGGCCGAGAAGGTGTCCATCAAAGACGATCCTTGGTGAGCGGGACGTGTGGGTGGAAAACAATATGTATATATATATATATATATGTATATATATATATACACAGGATGTAACAAAAGTATACGTGCACATGTGTGCTTGTTCGGCGGATTGGCTGCTTGCTTGCTTCCTTGCTTGCTTGCTTACTCGGTCGGTCGGTCGGTCGGTTGGTTGCTTGGCTGGTTCGTTGTTTGCGCATTTGTTTCCAAGAGCTTGCGTCACTCCGTCACGCCAAGTTTTTAGTATGGGATGCTATGCACTTTGCCGCCAGGTGGGCAGCAGAGTTTCAATTCTGTTTGCTGGAGTCTTCCTGCCCCAGCCATGTGGCCATGTCAATGACCAGATGGTGCCAATGTGGAGCCCATCCTAGGCCGGAATGCGCAGGTCACAATAGGCAGCATTCACCAGGATCTGTTCCCCAATCGATGGGAAGGTGAAGGATCTCGATTGACAATTGGCGAATTTCACTTCAGGGTACCCCGGGAGAACCAAACAAGAGGCTCGTAAGAGGGTGGTAGTGGTACTTCCTGGCGGTGTGGTGGTACGTGAACATTCTCTGATATGCGCTTGAGAACACACCGGCCCCTTCCCAGTTTGGAGCCAAGGAGAAGTACTTCGCCATCCTCATGGACCGCGCGAGCGGAGGTCCCCTGATGATCGGCAGCAAGACGGGCGGCACCTCCATCGAGGACATCGCGGCGGCGGACCCCACCGCCATCATCAGGACACCTGTGGACATCATCTCAGGCGGGGCTGCAGGCAGGCCCTTTCAGGGGCACCCAGTCCGAGACGCGAAGGAGACGTATTTTTGCATGTGCGACACGTGAGCAATTTCTGTCCATTGCAATTCGAGTTCCTGGTTTTCACAACTTTGCGAGGCAGATCAAAATCTGCACGTGGTCTAAGCATAGGCAGCCGCTGGTCATGACGCCGTTTCGGCCCCCACTTTTTTGGTGCGCCCCAGGCCCCAACCGCGAGCTCCATTCCACAAGGGCAACCCACAACAATGCCATTACTCAAAACGAGTCGCGCGCGGGCACGGGTTGGTTGGGAGGCATCAACATGGCCGACGCCGAGAAGATGGCGACGGAGATGGGCTTCTCGGGCGCGCAGGCCAAGGAGGCGGCAGCATGGCGGAGACCTGTGGGGCAACAGGCACCACATATGGGGATGGGGGTGAAGGAAACTTGAAGGGAGAGAGAGATTCTTGTTTGAAGCCCACAGCTGAAGCAATTGGGGACGTTTGACAACAGTGGCCGAGGGAAGGTCGGACTTAACATTGGACCAGAAGACAAAAGCAGGCAGTTGCACTCTTTGTCTCTTGTCTAGCAAGCTCCTTTAGTTCTGGCTTCTCAGCTGACCATGTTTGCTTGTTCATTTGGTTATTCAATGGCCAACGCTTCTAGACAATCCAGCGGCCGTTTGTTTGATGCTGTGGAAGGCAGCGTTTGTCTACGGCTAGGATATTTCGGGCAATCTGCCCTGGCTTGCGCCCCTCCTGGTTAGAGCTGACAGCTGGCTTCCTTTCTTTTTAGATCGCGCCCGGTTGAATTCCACCCTGATTCATGAAAGGGGGGGAGGCTGAAATTTACGTATTGTAGTGCGGCAGCAAGTCTGCAGTTTTGTTCACCTCATTTGTGGCATTTTCTCAAATCACGAATTCACAGCAGAGGTTCTGCTCCTTTGAACAGGCTATTTGCCGAGGCAACACTGATGGCCAACCTCTACAAGGTCTTCATGGAGTGCGACTGCACCATGTTGGAGATCAACCCATTGGCTTCTTTGTCCGATGGCCGTGTGCTGGTCTGCGACTCTAAGGCCGGCAAACGGCTTGATTAGTGCGCAACAAGTTGTGTGAATGCGGCAAAAGCGCTTGTGTCTTGCAAGCCATGGTGCCCTCGGTGTCAATGATTTGAACCGGACCATTGTAGAAGCCTGGCTCCTGCTCTGCGGTAGTCAACTGTGCCCAGCAAGGGGGGCAGTTGGTTCTTGACCGCGTGAATTTGTCCGGATTTTTGGTGAAGGCCATTTGTGACTCCATCCATTCTTTGGAACAGCTTCCGCTTCCCCTAACTTTCAGTGCCGAAGTGCAGACCAAAGCTGTCGAAGCACACGCCATCCAATGTCAGACCTCCACATCGCTATTTCCTCAGAAGCGCTTGGCATCTTTGCACCGAAATGGCGTCAGCAAGACGCACCTCCGGACTCCCAAACTGCCACCTTCGATCAATTTTTCTAGGGCGCAATCACGTTCCCTAGGTGTCTTGCAATATACCAGAGGCCGCCTCAGAGGCCCAAAGCATAAGGGCTTCATAAAGGGTGTAGAATACTATAACTCTACACAGCCAAGTTTCTGGGCATATACCAAAGGTACTTCCCGGGGCGGTTGGTGGGAATAGCAAGGCCAGCCACTCTGGCTCCAAATTGGCCTCCAGACACGCCGTTTCAACAGAAAAAGCCAGAGTCCACCCGCGATTTTAAAACCGAATGCAGCTGACGCTTCGCTTGCCCGCCCCCCCCTTCCGCACCTCAAATGCCGCCGCCCCCAACTGGCAGGTGAACTTTGATGACAACGCGGCCTACCGTCAGAAGGACATCCACGCCAAGCGGGACACCAGCCAGGAGAACCCCATCGAGGTTGAGGCCAAGAAGTACGACCTCAACTACATCAAGCTGGCGCTTTGGACCAAGGGTCGGTTTGAGGACAGGAGACTTGTTCCGTGGTTTCCTTGGCCATGCCATATCAGTCCTACAGAATCGCAAGAGGATGTCCAGGCTGCGTGGGTGTGGAAATCACTGGGCGTATATGGATCAATCATGCAACATCGAATGTGAAAACAGGGGTGTTTGCTTCGGCGTTATTATAAATTTGGAAGTATGGTTGGCTCTAGTCAATGGCTGCTTTGATCTTGCCCAACGTCCATGGACTGAGCGGTAGATGCAGATGAAGGATCGTTTGTGCCAGCTTTGCAGTCAGTGCAAGGGGTAAAGATAAGTTCAACATAATTATTGTGGCTAGGTCGCCTTCTCTGCAAGACCTAGAACAATTCTCCACAACTGTGGCTTGAGTATGCCCATATGGGTGTCTTTTAAAAATTGGGGACCAATTCCTCCAGGTAGGTGGTTTCCTTTTGGTTTCTCTTGAAAACCCGTCCAAAAGGGGGTCCCCATTTTGAGATAGACCCAGAGGTCCTTTGGTAGTTCCGCTTGAAACTGAGGATGGCAACGTGGCTTGCATGGTCAACGGCGCCGGCCTGGCCATGTCCACCATGGCGCCTCGGCGCTTCAGCTTTCGAGAGGTTCAGCTTGGTTTGAGCCGAATTTGCCGCAGGATGCAGCACTGGCATTTTCAAGCATTTTTTTGGACAAAATCAGAGCCAACTGCTTGCCAACCTTGGAGCGAACGAACCAGCTCACCAGCCAGCTGCAGGCACTAAGTACAGCCCTGGTTGCACTTTACCCCCCAAAAATGCAAATTACCCCCTGAACGGGGCGGGGATTATCTATTCACTATTCTCAACGAGGGCACGTCGTTTTCGTTGTGTCAGGGACCTCGGCCGATTGTTTCGAAGCCTTGCAGGACCTGCTGAGCATCCTGGGCGGCAGCCCCGCGAACTTCCTGGACGTTGGCAGCTGGGCGAATGGAACTTGACCACCGGGGTCCGACGAAAGCGCCTTCTTGCCTAGGTCCCCCCAGTAGCGGCCTTCTTACCCTTTTTTGGGAAGGGTTGCCCTACTAAGATAGATACCCTTCTTCTAACCTCTCTACTGGAGGACCTAGTTGCTTTTGGCACTGTCAGTTGGACATTTGGGGGCCACAGTACCAAGTCTTGGTCTCCGGCCTCCGGCCTCCGGCTTCCGGCCCGGCCCGCGTCCCAGCCCGATCCCACAGAATGTTTGCTTCAATCGGCCAAGAGGATTTTTGGCAGTTGCCATGTGCAGGTCAATGGGTTTGCGCCCCCTGGTGCAGATCCATCTTTCTGAGGGCGGGCTTCACCAGACTTGCATGTTAGACGCAAGCCGGAATTGTTGAATTTGCGTTTCTGCAGGAAGCATACTTCAGTCAGACAAAAGTTTATGCTTAGGTGTTTTCCCGGTCGATGAATACATCCCTTTCTATTTCTATTAACAAAAGGCTTCCCAGCATCCAAACTTGACCGCGCAAACCTGCATAGGTCTCACTGTCTAGGATTCTAGGGCACAGATTTTGAACTTCAAGACGCGCAACTTTTGTGTGGCCAACGTACTCGGAAGTTCCTTCTTTTTTTTTGAGTGTGTGATGCCTGGAAAGAACGAGGCTTCGTGCTACACATTGGACGGTTTTGTGATGGGATGCGCTCATGACATTTTGGAAGGCTCCCAGTTTCTTTTGAAGGGCTCACGAGTGTCCCCATCTAGGTGTTGCCTAACAATGAAGGATCCCTCCTTGGTGGATGGTTGAAGCGGGAAACGCTGGTAACCCATCGAAATGGCGGGGATCCGCTATCTTCATTTGTCAGTTGCTGCTTGAGGGTCTGGAATCCTCGACGAGGGGTTGCAAGGGGGTGTCTCTAGGTGCAACGAACTTGAACTCTCCATCCCCCCAGACGCCTTAAGCATTCCAGAGGGGGGCAAGAACCAGTGGAACTCTGGACCCCATTTTGCATGCCGCATGCGCCGGAATTCATTTAGGTGGCGCCTCCACCGTGGAGACCATGACCATGGCCTTCAAGAACCATGGCCATGAAACACAAGCGAACAGAAGGCGTCTGACTTGCAACGGATTTTCCAGCACTAATACCGAGGGAGTTGCTTCATCACCAATCTGCCGCATTCTGTTGACCATGTGGGCAACAGATGAGGCAGCGGGAGGATTTGCAGGATCAGTATTTGGAGGATCAGGATTTGGAGAATCGGCGATATCTTGGCATGCTTGCTTGCAGTGCAATCTGCATTGCAGCATCACAAGTTCACATTCACTTGCAGGAGGGAGCCGGCATGTGTTCAGCTCTGCTTTTTGCTGGGGACCAACTGATGTAGGCCTCTGTTTGCCCCCTGCCAAACCAAGTTGCAGTGTGTTTCGTTGGGTTTGCCTTTTGAACAGGATGGGTACACTAGACCGCCAACTCAAGCCAGCACAGAAGGATCAGCCGATCTGAGCGCTCACATTGGATCTTTGCACTGGGGTATAGTGTGAGCGCCAGCCTCAATTTGGTTCCCACGATCTGCCGGACGGATCGAGATGCCCAGCTCGATAGATTAGACTCTTAGACGCGAGATCGGATTTCCCGAAACACTTCACGCGCGCGCTGGGCGCACGCCCGGGCACCTTCTCTCGCTGAGGATCATCATGGGTGATCCCAATGCCCGGGCCCTGATGCTGGGAGCAAGACATTGGCAATGTCAGTGCGGTTTTGAGGGTCGTGCCCCTGCGGGTTGGGTGGGGAATGATTCCTTGTGGCAGGTTTGTGAAGGTGTTTGTGTTTGGTCAAACTCTGAGACCTGAGAGCATCGCCATTTCCTTGGCCTTCCTTAAGCATCGCAGGTAGAATCAACTCTCACGATTCCCTAGCGTGTGATATGACTTGAGGGACACCACACTTTCGTGCGGCTTTGTGGTTTTGACACATACCGCAGACCGCAAGGTGAAGTCCATCTTCGTGAACATCTTCGGCGGCATCGCCCGCTGCGACCACATCGCCGAGGCGGTGGTTGCGGGAGTGAAGGCCATTGGCGGCAACGACGCCATCAAGCCTCTGGTGATTCGCCTGGAAGGCCGAGCGGTTCTCGTGGGTTGCGGGCCATGGAATGTGGGAAGATGGGAGGGCCGGGGTGGGGGGGGCATCATTGGTTGATGTCACCGAGCTTTCTTTGACAGTCCCGTGGCAGAGAGTGAAGAAGTTTGATATGCAAGCCAACTGGCGCTTCTTACTCCTTGCCTTTGGTTGCCAACTGGATTCAGAGTTTTGAGGGGCAATCATGACACGCGAGTCAGATTGCAGGATCGATTCAGAATTCGGTGGCAATCCTAGCAAAGAACGCTCGGGAACTCGGACTCCAAATTAAGTGCAAATGCCCTTGCGCTTTGGATGGGTACTCCTCGGCATGCAAGCACATCCTGAGTTAATGCATCCGATCAGAAAGGTGAAGCGAAGGAGGGTATCAGATTTGTGATGTTTTGTCTCATTGAACGCATTTGAACGTGGCTTGGCAGGCACCAACGTGGAGGCCGGCATGGAGATCATCAAGAACAGCGGGGTCGACGCCTTCCTGACCAACGACTTCACCACGGGCGCCAAGAAAGCCGTGGAGCTGGCGAGCAAGTGAGCGAGTGAGCGCTCCATACGCGACTTTCCCGGGTGCTTCTCACAGTCCGAGAATGGGAGCTGTGACTGTTTTGAGTAACATGGCTGCGGGGTCCCGGAATTCTCCTTCAAACACGTCCGGAGCTTTCTTTCATGCCTTCCAGCAAAGTTCGGACAAATCCGCTGTTACGTCACCGTGGGACCCCCTTGTGCAGCCACAAAGGTTTCAGTCTTATTTTTTCGCCAGCATAGCATAAGAGTGCCTGAACTCAAAAACGCCCAATGCTTCATTCCAAATGTCTCATTTGGTTTTATGCCGCCTACGAGCATTGTTTGTCTGATAGTTATGCCGCTGCGCCATGGCCCTTCTGTCGGCTTTCAAGATGTTGGCCTGGCCTTGACGCCTATTTGCATCGATTGGTCTCGACTCGGAGCGTCTCTGAGAGGCTGCTACCAAAAGGGCACACGTGACGGCTTCAATGGCGTGCGGCCGTTGGCTAAAGGGTCGGCACCCGGTCAACGCTGATGGTAAGTCGGCTCCATCAATGGAGCAGGGAAGCTAGCTGAACGCTCCTGGAGTCAGTTGATATCCCTCCGCAGGTTGGAAAGGTGGTTTTCGGTGGGTACGCAGATGTTTGGAGCTTGCTTATCTTTTGTCGCCATTGAATCAAGAATTGAGAAGACATGCGTGTTGGCGGTTGCAAGGACAACTCTGCGTTTTCTTTGCTCGGATCAAATCTTGCTGACGCGCAGGTGCTTCCGGGTTTGCCACCCGAGCAGCGAAGGCGGGAGTGGACTCGGGAGGGAGCGACTGGCATCCCATTGGGCGCAGGCTGCTGTGGGGTTCGGTGGCCACAAGCGAAACTTACGGCAACGCCTTGGGGCTACATTGTGGGTGATCAAAATTCCCTGTAAGGACTTTGAACACAAGGAACTATAGCGTTTCTATTTTTTTCCGAAGCAAGACTTGTCGTTAGCTTCTTGCAGACATGCTTGCATGCATATTTGCCCCACAGCGCTTGCAACAAGCTTGCCGAAAGATTCGTAACAGACTATGGACCCCGTTGTGCATTGTTCCGCGCGTGGGTCCAGGATGGAGTGATCTAGCTTGGAATGCAACCGTGTTCAGGCTTTGTTTTACTCAGTGGTCTCTTTTGCATTGTGTGGCTGGGAAGGCTGCCGAAAGCTGCTGTTGTTGCCGCTCTTGCAAGCGTTCCCGCAATTCTGTCAGGTTGGAGTTGCGAAAGATTCACGAAGATGCCATCACCCAGAAGAAGCAATATCGATGACGCCCAACGCCTGCATAATATGTTCGGGCATCCGCGCAATAGCAGAACTGCATTTCAAGCCTTTGGGAAGCTAATCGTTTTGACTCCATTAAAATCGAACGATGGAACAGGCGCAAAACGCCTGCTGCCGGGCCGCATTCTCCAGCACACAGTGTTTCTCTGCAGGAAGTATCGCGGGAAATCTCGATATGATGGTCCATGTTTGATGGTCCTCATAGTGCACCAATTTTCCTTCCTGAAGTTTCGCAAGTGGAAGCTTCTCACTTCACCCAGGTGAGCGCGGCCGAAGCGTCTCCATTCTGTGTTTCGGTCAGCTACGCCGCAGCCACGCCGATACTGTGTTTTTGCCTTCGCGCGCTTGCTGCCTCCTGAAGCAATGCTTGCCAGAAGCTGGCGAGGCTGTAGTTGTTGGCTGTTGGTAGACTAGCAGGTTGCGCCGGCTCTGTGGTTTCTCCTTCACCTCTGCCTTTTGCCACAGGTGGCCCGGCACAAGCGGCAGAAGTTGCAGTATCGGCCCGGAGCTCAGATTTTGCTTTGGCCGGGTACTTTTCCAGTCTTGGGCGGTCCAAGAATAGTTGGACCCTTCCGAATTCTTGTCCGTCTTCCACTTCGAAAGCTTTGTCGATTGCCCAAACCAGTGAAGCCGGGTCGACGTTTCCAGGTTTGCGAAGGTCCGGGAGTACCAGCGGAAGGCCCGGCCACGGCAGATCATCACAAATTCGAACAGCGGGACTGTAGACGACCCTGCGAGCTTCTACGCAGCAACTCGAAAAGCTGATCCATTGCACTGCTTCGGGACTTGTCACTGCCAACTGGCTCCCCGACTAGGAAGGTCTAAGGGGCGTATGACTTCCGTCAGCTGCCACGCAAGCTGCAACCGAAACTCGGGGACGGTCTGCACTGGGAGCAACATCATGGCCCAACCTTGCCGTCATTTTTTTTTGCGTCAAGCTCCCCTTTCTGCCTCGGAACATCGCGCGCAGGGACTTCGGCCACTGAAGCACAGCTTAGATACGTGTTTGACCTCACTCAACTTTTAGACCCTGGCTGGTTGGGCATTTGCCGTCGGTACGTGAGCTGACGGTTTGGATTGAGATTGCCTGGCCTCCGACGGCCCAATCGAAGATGACCTGCGACGGGTGTGCCCAAAAGGGCTCCCCTTCAAAAGCAAAGGGCTCCCTGAAAAACGAAGAACCTGCCCTTCGCAAAACGAAGAACCCCTGCCCTTCGCAGATGGCAGGAGGCCCCGGGCGACTTCCCCGTCCAGCTGCGGCCTCACAAGCTGCCGGAGGCGCAAGAGATCGAGGGTTCTGGGGTGCCCCCAGGAACAGGATGTCGGTACGGAAGAAAACAAAAAGAGAAGGAAAAAAAACAACAGAAAATGCAAAAAACCTGGAACAGCCAAAAATCGCTTGCGTCACTCACATTCCTTGCATTGCCTAATTACTTAGCCTCACGCACGCCACCTCTCAAGGGTTCTGGGAGTGATGTAAGCCTATGGCCCCTGGTCACCGCCCCTTTCTTCACCTGGGAGGATCATTGCGATCGCGAGGTGTTTGTTTTCTCCAGGCTGGCAAGAATGTGCATGGCACCCAAGCTTTCCGCAGAAAGGTCGAAGCTCTTGGTACTTTGATGGGGGTTGCTCGTATGGTGCCATAGGGCATATCACAGTTCCTCAGCGACCAGAACGGCACCCGGCAGAAAGAAGCCCTCCGGAGCACCATTTGCCCTTTTGCAAAGGCCTTCGATGTGGGCATGGGTCAAAATTAAACCAGCAGGGACCGCAGATGTTGGTCCATGTTTCCTTTTACCAGGGTTCCATTTTGGGTACCTGTTGTTGACCCACAGCCATTTGCTCTTTGCAAAGACCTCCAATATGTCGAATCTCATCCCGCACTGCGAGCTGTCCGCAGGTTCGGGACCTCCATGACCAACAGCTGGATATGGAGGCTGCCAGGTCCTAGGCCCATGACCAGCCTTTGGCAACAGGTGTTTGTTTTAGCTTTGCACAAAGATCATATTATGTCTTGTTTCTCCTTCATGTTCTTCGTTCCTTTCTCTTCCTTTCTCTTCCTTTCTATTCATTTCTCTTCCTTTCTCTTCCGTCTTTTCCTTTTTCTCCTTCTTCTCCTTCTTCTCCGTCTTCTCCGTCTTCTCCTTCTTCTCCTCCTTCTCCTTCTTCTCCCTACTTTGCTTCTTCTTCTTCTTCTTCTTCTTCTTCTTCCTCTTTTTCTTGGTTGTCTTCTTTCGCTTCTTTGTCTTCCGAAACAACTCGGGGCACGCGTGATTTGAGATTTGACTTTCCCGAGTTGCAGTGTGGGTGCTTGGCAGTGAGGTCGAGACCGAGAAGGAGCCCAAGTTGGGAAAGGCCCGGGTCTTGGCGGACTTGCTTCGCCTGGTGGCTTCTGACGCAAGGCATCCTTTGGTATCCCCCATTTCATGTTCAGGCCCCGACAATTTCAACGGGAGCCAGCTGGCACTGTGTGCAGCCTCTGCGCCAAACCGGACAATTCATCTGAGCAAGTTTCTGCTCCAAGAGTTCTCGAGGCCCGGGTTCATGCTGGGCTGTCGGAAGAGGCCGGGCGGCTTTGGTGCGCAGGCGGCGCCAGCGACGCCGCCGCGGATGGTGGGCACCGAAGACGACACGGTCAAGGCGAGTGCTTCTGGAAGTGGATGGGGCAGGTGCTGCTGAGCTCGGAAGACGCGCTTCTTTTGAGCGGTCGCCTGCGAGAAACCACGATATAAATCAGACAAACAACCTACACTTGCCTCACTGCGCCCCACTTGGGTTTTGCGGCTGCCTTGAAAACCGTTCTTGATGGCAGCCTTCTACAGATGCGAGCTGCCTCGCATCCTTCGTAGGCCAGCGCCTTGCGCCAAAAGAGGGCCATGCCAAACGTGAAGGCCAGGGCATTTGCCGTTCGCCCCGGAATTCCAGTATGGGTGAGCGGATGGCCAGTTTCTTGCTTGTGCTGCCGTGGTGCATGACCGAGCACTTGTTCGAACCTTTTTGGTTTCGCAAACAAGCTGCTGCCAGGTTCCACGCTTCAACCCAGAACGGGACCTGGGCGAGGAGGACAGGGGCTCTCGATTAGTTCCCAATGCTGACAGGGAGCTACGCAGAGCATCGGCCCCGGAATTCCCCGGACCAAAACCTGGATTTGTGCATTTGAAAGACAACCACATTGTGGTTGTCTGAATGGAGAGAGGGCATGTATGATTTGAAAGCCAATTGAGGCAGCACAAGCAAATGAATCGTTTGCTTCTTACCCAAGGCAAGCAAACGAAACAAAACACACATGAGCCTTGCAAGAGACCAGGACGGGGGGCCCAAGCGTTTTCTGTGACCCCAAAACGTTTCGTGTCATTTGCGACCCTGAAAAGCAAAATCCCCAAACTCTAGGGATGACGAGCCATGTCCACAGGGCAGGGACAGTTGTAGGCTCGAATATGGGCCAATTCCAGTGCGCAAAAGCAGATGCCCGCGTGTCAACCTGAGGTGAATCGAACACTTTGAGAAGGTGTATCATCCTTTTGGAAGGACACCCAAAGAAACGACCCTGCGGACCAAAGCTAACGTAGCTGCGGACCGAACAGTTCCATCTTTACAAACACCGAAACGGGATCACGGCGCTTGGCACAAAGAGGGATCTGGATCATTTGAATCACAGAAAGATTCGAGAAACCGCCAAAAGATGTAAAGGCAAATGAACACCTGGACTAGACTGGCCCCACCCAAAGGGTGACTGCTTGTTCCGTCGAGGGAAGCTCCCACATGGGTGTGGCTCAAAATGAAAGGGCTAGGGTTACGCAGCTTTTAGTCTTTGATTCCATTTCCCAAGGTGCCATTTTGGGTACATTTTTTGTGAGCCACAGCCCACAGACAGGTCAGTCCCGTGACACCTGTGGGACTTGTCGCTTGCCAGGCCGGCGCCGATCTGCGGGCCTCCAAAGCGTGGCGACCTTGATCGGTCTCGCGCCAGAGCTCCCTGAAAAAAAGGTTTCTTGTTGGTTTTCAGAATGACCCCAAGAAAAACCATCCAACTGGTGGTTTCCTTCAGGGAATCCCCAGGTTCATTCCCAAAACCGTGGGTCATTCATTCCGTACTGAGCACCAGCAAGTAGGATCAAAACTGCCCCTATGCCCCTATGGGCCTAAGGCTCCATGTTGGGTGCTTGAGCGAGCTGAGGAAGCCAAAGTGAAACGGGGTCTCAGTTGTTTTTTTTGTTTTATTATGTGTGTTCTCATGCCGTGCAGTCGGGGAGAGCGACCAGCGAGGGTTCGCATTTGACACGGGAAGCCCCCTGGCTTTGACGCTTCCGGATGGCTGGGACCGCTTGGCAAAGGAGAGCCTGACCAGATGGATGGAAGGAGAGGGACTGCCAAAGATTCGGTCAACAATTCGGTCAACAAGTACGTCGCAACTTCACGCAGCAAGCAAAGCAGGTATTCAAACAAAGAGCGTAATCAAATTCAACATATTTGAACCACCGCCTTCCATACCTGACCTTGGCCCAGAAGGTCGGTGGCATGATCCTCAGGGGTTTAGCTACGTCAGCCTTTGGTTCACTAGCTCGCCTCGATTGCCATGAGGCGAGCTCTGGCACGGCTGAAGCAGAAAGAGTTCAAGCACGGGGCCCTTGGCGGTGTATCCGAAATTCTGTTTTGAGCAACACCGGGATATGTTTGGAATCTGTGAGCCATCTCACGTGAGGAACTTCCAGGTCTTGGATTTTGCGCAATTATTCACAGCAACTCCTCTTCGCACAGAAGGAATGGCAAGGGGCGTACTCACTACTTCTATTACTAGGACATGTATGGGGTCGCTTGCCCGTCTTAACATTAGGACCCTCCAAACCGTTGGCTTCATGTCGGTTTCCTGTCTAATATCAGAAGTGAATTGGGCTCCTAGTTTTGAGACCACCATTTGGGAGGGACACTGACTCTTGGTCACGAGTAGGACGATGGCCCAGGTGTTGGTCTTTGATCGAATGCAGTTCTGCTGAAGCGCTGCTTCGCCTTATTCAACCGTCCTTGTTAGAATCGGAGTTCTCAGAACTAAGAGCCTTTGTTTTCAAGAGATGATCCGCAGCAGTTTGGCTAGAGGACGCCGCAAATGAACGCGCCGTCCTCCTAAAGTGATGGGGGGCTCAAAGGGCCCCAAAGGTGACAAGGGCGAGGAGAAGCGAGGAGGGTGGAAGGGCGACGGCAAGTGGTGGCCAGAAGAAGAAAAAGGGAAAGGCAAGGACAAAACCAAAGGGAAAGGGAAAGCAAAAGGGAAGGACAATGAGTGGCGTGGCAAGGCAGACGAATCGTATGTGAACCGACCAGAAAGGAGAGGCAAAGGCAAGAATGATGGCAAGAATGAAGGCAAGGGCACCGGAAGTGAGAAGAGGAGCCAGCTTAGCAGCAGTGCTCCGGATTTCACGCCCTCGGGCATGTACGACTATGACTCCTTGTCCGCTCCCTTTTGGAACTGGCCGCCCTTTGTGGAGATGCCTCCCTTGTGGCGGGAGTATGCCGACAAGGATGGCACCAAGTACTACTACAACTCCAAGACGGGCCTCACGCAGTGGGAGAGGCCTCCGGAGTTGGACCCTCCGGAGCTCAAGGTCAAGGAAGTGCGGCGCGAGGAAGCCAAAGGCGACCGAGGCGACCGAGGCGACCGAGGCGACCGAGGCGACCGAGGCGAGTTCGCTCGCGACCGGGAGGATGGCATGGGAGGCGGCAAGGACTCGGGCAAGGGCAAGCGTGACCGGGACCGCGGGGACCGCGGGGACCGCGGTGACCGCGGGGACCGTGGGGACCGCGGGGACCGTGGGGACCGCGGGGATCGGAGGCGGCCCCCCAAAGCGGAGCCCTCGAAGGAGCCCAGCTTCGGCCCCCCCGGGTGTAACCTCTTTGTGTTCCACCTGCCGGACGACTGGACTGACGACGACCTGCTGGAGTACTTTGCGCCCCACGGCAACGTTGTCAGTGCCAAGGTGATGAAGGAGCTGGGCACCGGCCGGTCAAGGGGCTTCGGCTTTGTGAGCTATGAGGATCGGGTCAGCGCGGCTACGGCCATCAAGAAGATGCAGGGCTACAAGATTCTGGGCAAGCGCCTGAAGGCGGCATTCCGAAATGTGTGGAATTTGTCTCATGGGTTTTTGGGAAGGCAATCCTCTAAATGACCACCCGCACGAAAGACCAACAAGTCTTGGGACGCATTTTTATAGGTGGGCACCATCCCAAATGGGTCGACGGGGGAAGGAGGAACTAGGGACTGTGATCCCAAATCCACTCATGAGACACATGAGCCACAATCAAACCCCGCGTAGATGAAGGTTAGTGAGGGGCAGTCCCAGCCAGAAATAGTTGCGGATATCCGCCTTCTTAATTCTTTACATGGTTCTGGGATTACGACCATTTTAATGCTGGGATTTGAGCAAGTGACGGTCACATGGTCAGGTGGAGTTCAAGAAAGGCGAGGGCGACAGCCGAGACGTGGACAAGATGGACACGGAGGAGAAGGCCTCCGGGGACGACGAGCGCTTGATCGGCTACTTGAGGGCCATCTCCGCGAAGTCCGTCGTGCAATCCTTGAAGGAATCCGAGAAGGAAGATGCGAACAGCCCAAGAGACAGCCTCGAAACGTGAGGAGTGAAAAAGATGCGACTCACTGACCTGGCCAATCAAGCGAATGACATGTCAGTTCTGGCTGAGAAGATGTTTGTTGAGAAGCCCCTCTTAAAGTGGTTCTCCTTTCACCGGTCCATGCGAATCTGTTTATCCGAATCCAGCCCAGGTTTGTTCCGAATCCCTACAGCGAGCGACCAGGGCCGCTTGGAACCGCCGGGACCCGAGATGAAATTCTACCCATAGGTTTAAGCTTCTCTTTTGGACTGGGGAATGGTCCAACGGTAGCATTGTCAAAAATGGTATGATTCATTTGCTGCACGTTGCAAGGGACCATATCCAATCTTCCCACTTGCCGTATTTAGGAGACCCACTGTAGGACTTCATAGCTTCCAACGTATTGCTGACTGGATGTTCCAATTCGCAATGGGAAGCATTGCCTAGCAGATTGCCTTGCAGCTAGTTTTGCGTTCAATCCACATGAGGCACGATCGCTTTCTTACGCAGAAAGTTTCACAAGAGCAGCTCTTCCACATGATTTTGGCTTGATTTCAGTCAAAGTTGCGCAAAGCCCGGCCACGTGTGCTGGTTCATTGCAAAGATTGCAAACTGCGGGAAAGGTGGCAACGATCAGGTGCCTTCTTTCCCAAACAAAGTGCGATTAACTTCGAACTGCCTGAACTCCCTCCAGCAAACATACAGGCGTCCAGGAGGGTTTTCGAAGAGTTTCGTTTGACATGTCTTTGCCCATTTCAAGGGCGGCGGTCTTCCAGAAGCTTCTTAATGTCATCAGTTGCAGACGTCTTCCTGCAGTGCCTTCCAGCCAGAGTGCAAGTCAGAGACCCTTCCTTGACAGCATTTGTGCTTAAAGTATTTCGGGGCACGTCGGTGTCGCAAGAAAGACACTCGATATATTTTTTTCCGGAAAAGCCCTTGGACGGTCCTAGGCCCTAGCTAGAGGTCCGCAGCGGCATGTCTTTGACCCATTGCCCAGGATCCAGAGGCCGAAGCCAGCTACTATGCGCGGTGCGCCAAAGTCAGGTGGTGTTTGCTGGGGCGTTGAAAAACCTGCTCCTGACCGTGACCGTGCAGATTGCGGTGCCTGTTGTGTGTGTGTGTGTGTGTGTGTGTGTGTCTGTCTGTTTGTCTGTCTGTCTGTCTGTCTGTCTGTCTGTCTGTCTGCCTGCCTGCCTGCCTGCCTGTCTGCCTGCCTGCCTGCCTGCCTGCCTGCGTGCGTGCGTGCGCGCGTGGGCGCGTGTGCGCGTGTGCGCGTGTGCGTGTGTGCGTGTGTGCGTGTGTGCGTGTGTGCGTGCGCGCGTGCGTGCGTGTGTGCGTGTGTGCGTGTGTGCGTGTGCGCGTGTGCGCGTGTGCGCGTGCGCGTGCGCGTGCGCGTGCGCGTGCGTGCGTGCGTGCGTGCGTGCGTGCGTGCGTGCGTGCGTGCGTGCGTGCGTGCGTGCGTGCGTGCGTGCGTGCGTGTGTGTGTGTGGGTGGGTGGGTGGGTGGGTGGGTTGGTGGGTGGGTGGGTGGGTGGGTGTTGTGTGCGCGTGCGCGCGCGTGTGTGCACGTGTGTGCGCGTGTGCGCACGGCTGCGTCAGTGCTTGTGTGGGTGCTTATTCTGTCCAGCTTATACGCTTTTGATAATCCGAGGGGTGCATATTGTTTGCCCTTGATCCGAGTACACTATGTTGATCATCGTTTTTTTCGGTTTGCGAGGTGTGAGCATGCGCTGCATCGGAAGAAGTTCAGGCTGTAATGGGAAGTGGCTCGATCCAGCTCATCCACAATCACGGATGAGGTGGCTTAAGGCCAGGGGCAGGTGTAGTGATCCTTTATTGGCAGATAGGGCGTAAGGTGTTCAAACATAGAGTGCACAATAGCTGGCCAAGTGGGAGAATCCGAATTGCGCGAATGACAAAGCGTAAATGCATTTGTCCAGACTTCTTCCTTGTGGGCCCGGCAAGTTTCTATTCTGCCCGAGAGGGTGCGACTTGGGCTTGCCCTTTGGTGTAGGGTTTGCCGCAACCTGAAGCCCTAGGATCAGGCTGGGAATAGCTCAAGTTTTGGGTCTCTTGCTGAAGATGGGTGAAGCTGCGAACAGGGCAAAGGGTGAAGCTGCTGTTCATGCTTTGGCGCCTGGTTCGAAGTGAGCGGCCATGTGTGACATTTGCCGGTCGCCCGCTTCAGGTACTTCGACGGGCGCCCGCCGCACTACGACCGGAAGCCGCTGCTGCCCACTGCGGATGGGGCACCAGAGGAGGGTTTTGGGTGGAGACGACGCAAGACGAAGCAGCACAGGAAGCAAATTGGGAAGAACCCAGTGTCCCCAAGGATGTCAGCCGATGTGATATCAGCTGTGAATTCCCTTGCAATTCACGCAATTCGGCTTTGCCCATCCTAATGCAACTTAACATTCTTCGTTTTGCCTTGCGATTGGAAGGTTCTCGTCAGATCTTGTTGCATTGGCTCGAGCCCCTTCTTGCTTTGCTATCACATCCCTTACTCATGCCAACATAAGCCTGACTCCAAGGAGACCCTTGCAATTGAGCGCGAACATCTTTCGATCCACCTCACTCCCACACCTTCATAAATCCCACTGGGCCCCATTCGGCATGTAAGTCAAAGGCCGCCTTTTGATTAGGCATGCTCGTCGGAGCTTCTCCAGTGCCGGTTCCTCTCGTACGCTTGTCATCCCACGGTAGGACTTTGTGGACGCGCGGCGCCCACTGAGAAGGCAGGCGGATTTTGCGCGGGCCATCCCAACCCATAGCCACCTGCTGGTTCCGTCTGGCTCGGCACCATCAGGCGGCAGCGCATCTCGCCGAAGCACTTCTGGATCCAACCCGACTACATCACGCCCGGCTCCGAGTGGAGCTTTCTCGGCGGATTCGGAAGGATTCAGATTCATACTCGTTGGGGCATTTCATGCTGGTGCCCAGTCTGTGACTTTTTCTTCAGCCCTGCGTGCTCTGATGTCGTGATGTTTTGCTCGCCGTGCAAGGAATCATAATCTAAGCTTAGCACTCTCTCCGTCGTGGAGTGTGCTTTGGCATTTGCGAGCAGTTCATTGCTTTACTTGCTGCATTGTTGTGTTTTTGTTGTCACTGCTCTGCTTCCTGGCTCATCTGTTGCCTTTGTGTGTTTGCATTGGTTTCCTGTGTTAGTGTTTAGTCTTGTGGTATGTATTTGTTGCGTGGCTCTGTGTTGTTTCGTCCAGCAGTGTTTGTTTTGTTTCTGAATTTGCCTGTCTCTGTTTGATTCTTGCTTGCCTGCCTGCCTGGCTGCCTGCCTGCTTGTCTCTCTGTCTCTCTGTCTCCCTGTCTCCCTGTCTCCCTGTCTCCCTGTCTCTCTGTCTCTCTGTCTCTCTGTTTGCCTGTCTGCCTGTCCCTGTCTCCCTCTCTGCCTCTCCCTCTCTCTCTCTCTCGCTCTCCCACTCCCTCTCTCTCTCTCTCTCTCTCTTTCTCTCGCTCTTTCTCTCTCTCTCTCTCTCTTTCTCTCTCTCTCTCTGGCCCCTCTGGTCTGTCTGATCGCTCTGAGATTTCCCGGTTTCTCTGGTCTCAGACAGACCATCTGGCTGTCCGTCTGTCTGTTTGTTTGCTGGCCATTTAAGGTTGTGCGGCGGTTGCTGGGTTGCTCGGTTCTTGTTTGGTTTCGCTTGATTCCTTGCTTTCATACTTGCTTTCCTGCTTGTTGTTTGTTTGCCTATGTTCCTGGAGCGGCTCTGGGACTCTGGGACCCGGGGCTCAGGCCGGACCCCCCTTCAGTCGCCTTCATGACCACGCACGAGCTGAAGTTTGCCATGATGAACGAGGACGCCTTCATCTCACATGCCGAAAGGGCGATGGCATCCATTCGATTTGCTGCCTAGTATCTCTGCGACTCATTCGTTCCTCTGGCACGTTGTTGGTGTAAAGTCATGATTTGCACTTGGCTATTTGGTTCATGACATCTTCAGTGTTTCGGTTGGGGGTTGATGCCTTCTTTACTGCAGATGCTGGATCATCTCAACGTGTCCCACCTACGCCAGTTGATCACGAAGTAGTCCGCATTGATCCACCTTGTGGGTGATTCCAGCTTTGGCATGCCGGCCGCAGCGGATCGAAACAGACCGCGTTGCCTCTGTTTGACCGTATGCCACTGCATTTGCCATTGCCGTCAGGCCCACGTGGTGCGCAAGTGGCGCAGCGGACAGCCGAAGGCCGGCAAAAATGGGGCAAGAAGAGTCGGCATGACGACCAATGAGTTGGCTGTCGGTTATGAATTGGCTATCGGTTGAGCATCGGTTTGGGTATTGGTTTGACTCCGCAATCTTGGTTTGCGACAACAGAACCAGAATCACGTACATCGGAGCGAGGCGCGCAACTTCTACAGCGTAGGCTACTGAAAGCGCGCGTGCAACAAACATCAGCGCCGCAGGACCGCAACATCGCGCGTGTCTTGCGTTCGCGAAACCCGCGATCTATCATGACCTTGATTCACAAGACAAGTACAGCTAGGCCTCAAATTTCCGAAGGATGCGAAAGTACACCTAGCTGCATGACACTTGCAACGTAATCATCGCGCCGGCCGCATCATGTTGATTTGGGCCATCAATCAGGCCGGCAACACAATGAATCATGGTCATTCCAGAATGCATCATGATCGAGACAGCATCGTAGTAACGTTAACGTCATGCTACCGGCAGAATTACGATGCTGCCAGAATGCAGCGGCCTGATCATGCCGGCAGCATCACGATCACGCCTGCAGCATCATGATCGCAACGGCGACACAATGATCATGGTGTTCGCATGATATGCGATCACGGCCACGTACGATGGCGTCATAATAACTTCAGCGACGCAATACCGGCAGAAGTATGACCTTGCCGACAGCAGGTAGGCAGCTTCGCGGTCACGCCGGCAGTCGCGTAGGCGGCTTCATGATCACGCCAGCAGGATCATGGCCGGTCGTTTGTTGTTTTCGTTTCCGGGCAGGTAGCTGCAGGCGGCATCATTGATTGGCTGCATCCGCCACCTGGGTCCTTTGCCAGCCGCGTCGTGACCTCCGGCAGCTCCGCTTTGCGATCGAGCCGGTCGCGCGCCGGCAGCATGGCACGTGCCGGTATATTCTCATCGCAAAAACACTCACGACGCGGGCGCGCACACAGGCGGCCTTGCGAGCCGCGTGTCAGCGTTGCGTCCATGCGGAGCGCAAAACAGCACGCGGAACGTGCTGGGTTCCACAGTTTTCAGGCAGAGGGTTCCAAACAAGGTTGTAAGGTTGTAGGCAGGGCCAGGATTGGTGGCCAGAGTTCGACGCAGAGTTCCAAGGGCTCCAGGCATGGTGCCTGGCTCCGAGCTGGCGGTGCAAGCTTGTTACTGCCACTTAGGCATAGAAACCCATCAGCTGGTTGCTGTTGGGGATGTACGTACAAATGTTAAAGACTGATTTTCCATGTGGGCTGGGCACTTACCAAGGGTTTCACCGAACCGATTTATCAGGGGCTTGTTTCCCTGGGCTAAGCCCCTGGTGGCTTCAACCCGTGTCAAAGCATTTCAAGAATCATATGTGGCGACTTGCGCCATGAAACCTTAAGCCAGTGGAGCCAGGACACAACTATTCTGAAATCCTGGCCCCAGTTCTTTGCGTTTTCACTGCGGGGCTTAGGTTTGTCTTGCCATGCGTTGAGTTGGGCAGGGCCTTTAATTGGAGCCATTGCTCTCTCTTTCTCTCTCTCTCTCTCACATTATTTTGAGGGGGATACAGAGTTATTAACCCCGCCTTAGCAAAGATCCGCTGTTTGAGACGAGTGTCTGAACATGTTCCATTCTACGATGTAGCGACGCTCTAGAGTCTAGATTTTGCACCTCCTCCGACATGGAGAATGTGTCCAGCGGGACTCCACTTTGGCCCCGCAGGACCAGACGCCGGGCCTTCCTGCGCCTCCGGCACGTTTTGCGCACCTCCGACGAAGCAAGCGGTTTCAGGCAAAACCAGGTGCCGAGAACACACAAGAAGGGCCGCGAGCAAAAGATGAGGGTTGTCGTGACATCCGAAATGCAGCAGATTTAGCAACTCAAGTTGAACGAACCACAAAACCCCCCAAGACCACAAGAGTTACATGGAGTTTCTTCTCGGCCAGCCCCGACCCATGCTGCCAGGGCCGTGCTCCTGGCCTGCCGGCGGGGGCCTTTGGCCCATGGCGCTGACCCGGATGTGAACCGAAGAGGGCGCAAAAAACACGAGTCCTGCAGTCCTTCTTAGGAAACACCTCCATGGCGACCGAAGCGTTTTGGCAAGTCTTGGCAAGTTTTGGCAAGATGTTGGCAACGCATTTTTGACCGTTGGCATAACTGCTCTCTGGCAAGCACATAACTTGCTGGTTTAGGATCGACGCGCACACCATTCGGGTAGATGCCACCTACTTTTAGCTGCTCGATTCTCCAGGGTGTATTTCAGCTTCAGGTTCCAGCCGCAAACCAGTGACTTTAGATGCAGTCTTGTAAAGGCTTTTGACTGCTTTGTAGGACATCGGCGTCGGCAGTGTGCAAATCTTCGGCGTCGGCGTCGGCAGTTGTCAAACCAGTCAAGAGCAAGCAAGCAAGCAAGCAAGCAGGCAGAGGCAGGCGGGCAAGCAAGCAAGCAAGCAAGCGAGCGAGCGAGCGAGCAAGCAAGCAAGCCAGCCAGTTAGCCAGCAAGCCAGCAAGCAAGCAAGCAAGCAAGCAAGCAAGCAAGAAACCAAGCAAGAAACCAAGCAAGAAACCAAGCAAGCAACCCGCCGAGCAAAGCAACCAAAGATGTTTATCACGTGGGACTTCCGTTCGAGGCCGGGGCAGCGGAGCTGTGGCTGGCCTTCGGGTACCGCGCGGCGGAGCTGAGCTGCGGGCGCTCTGTTCGCCCGCTGCCCGGGGAGCCGTTGCCAGGCACGTCCGGGCGTGGGAGGTGCTGGGGGCGGTGGGTGGGTGCAGCTCTAAGTGTAGGCCTTAGGGAATGTTGTGATGGGTGATTTGTTCCGTGGGAAGCAGATGATAATGACACTGAGCGCAAGCAGTTCAAAGACATAGTATGGGGCCATTAGCTCGCGCGTTTTGGGATTCTTCATTTGCTTAGGATCCGAGGGCAAGGTGCCGCGGATCCGATGCAGCCTCCACAGCACGCTGCGCTTTCTCCAGGCGCGGTACACGCGAACCGAGGGGAGAGAGGGATCACCATGAATTGGCTAGGGATTGAAAGTTTCACTTTCCGTTCAGTAAGGCCCGGGGACTTCAAAGGAAACTTGAGATCCAACTGATTCTTATGACATTTGGCTTTCACCCTGAAGTCATGCCCGTAATTCGAGGACCAACCCCAACAACGGCCCTGGGTCGCTTCATCCTCTCACTGAGGCAATGGCTTCAGTGCAAGCAGGGCCTCACAGTGCCTTGCTGCACCTCACCAACAGAGTGCCTCTCGGCTGCTTCGGACGTGCGGGGGGCTGCCTGGTGCAGGGAAGGATAGTTAGGAAGATGGTGAAAGCTGGGACGTTTTCCAAAGGGTTGAACATGGGAAGTCGTGGGCATCTGACAAAGTGCTCAGTTGGCACTTGCACGCTCCCCTGCAATGGTCAAGCAACTCCCTATCAATCGAGGTGAAGTCTCGCATGGAATCACATCGAAGTTTGCCTTCCTCACGCTCACAGTTGGGTAACCTCTCAAACCGGGAATGCTCGGCTTTTTCGCCGCTTGCCTGGGGCTCCTTTCCCAGTCGGAGACCATTCAGTGAGGCTGGAGAACCTCAAGGAGCTGAAGCCGTGGCTGGGCGAAAGCGGGGGGTGGTTTCGTGGGGAAGGTGGCCAGTGGTTTGCAGCAGAAGCCGTTGGCTCATTGACATGGCTCATTGACGCTGGAGATTTGGTGGCCGGACCGGCTGGTCTGTCTGTGTTCCGTTAAGTTGCTTTGGTGCCAGGCTCTAAAAAGAGGCAAACAAATGCATAGTTCACTCAGAGACATGTCACGAATCCTTTCAACGTCTCTCGCTCGTATCTGAGCCTCGACTGGTTTGCAATCACCTGCGGACCACTATACTCAAGGCCCATCGACTTGTATACCTTGGCAATTCCAGAAGAAAAGCTGGCAAGGACTTGCAGGCTGTATCTACATCAGTTGGATTTGATTGCATATTTTGCAGCTGCGGCTGCCAGTTTGTCCACGTTCCGCTGATTCGCTCTGGCGTGAGGCTGTGAAGAGGCAAACAAATGCATAGTTCACTCGGAGACGCGTGACCAAAGCTTTCAACGTCTTTCGCTCCTATTTGAGCCTCAAGTGACTCAAGTGCCAGCTTGATTGGCAGGGTAGACATGCTATGCCCCTGCAAGAATCTGCAGCTGGCCAAGGCAAGAGCTCCGAAGCTTGCGTGCTCATGGACGCTGAATGGTGCACTGCTGTCAAACACCTGGTCGTTCATGATGACAGCTGGGTGCCGCGCAGTGCAGATCTTGAATCACTCCACGGCCAGGGGCTGTTTTGCAATCACCTGCTGACCACTATACTCAAGGCCCATCGACTTGTATACCTTGGCAGTTCCAGAAGAAAAGCTGGCAAGGACTTGTTGCAGGCTGTATCTACATCAGTTGGATTTGATTGCATATTTTGCAGCTGCGGCTGCCAGTTTGTCCACCTTCCGTTGATTCGCTTTGGCCTGAGGTTGTGAAGAGGCAAACAAATGCATACTTCACTCGGAGACGCGTGACCAAAGCTTTCAACGTCTTTCGCTCCTATCTGAGCCTCAAGTGACTCAAGGCCAGCTAGATTGGCAAGGTAGACATGCTGTGCCCCTGCAAGAATCTGCAGCTGGCCAAGGCAAGAGCTCCGAAGCTTGCGTGCTCATGGACGCTGAATGGTGCACTGCTGTCAAACACCTGGTTGTTCATGATGACAGCTGGGTGCCGCGCAGTGCAGGCACGGTTTTCTTGAATCACTCCACGGCCAGGGGCTGTTTTGCAATCACCTGCTGACCACTATACTCAAGGCCCATCGACTTGTATACCTTGGCAGTTCCAGAAAAAAGCTGGCAAGGACTTGTTGCAGGCTGTATCTACATCAGTTGGATTTGATTGCATATCTTGCAGCTGCGGCTGCCAGTTTGTCCACCTTCCGTTGATTCGCTTTGGCGTGAGGCTGTGAAGAGGCAAACAAATGCATAGTTCACGCAGAGACGCATGACGATAGCTTTTAACGTCTTTCGCTCCTATCTGAGCCTCAAGTGACTCAAGTGGCAGCTCGATTGGCAGGGTAGGGCAAGAGCTCCGAATTGCGTGCTCATGGACGCTGAATGGTGCACTGCTGTCAAACACCTGGTTGTTCATGATGACAGCTGGGTGCCGCGCAGTGCAGACACGGTTTTCTTGAATCACTCCACGGCCAGGGGCTGTTTTGCAATCACCTGCTGACCACTATACTCAAGGCCCATCGACTTGTATACCTTGGCAGTTCCAGAAGAAAGCTTGCAAGCTTGTTGCAGGCTGTATCTACATCAGTTGGATTTGATTGAATATTTTGCAGCTGCGGCTGCCAGTTTGTCCACGTTTCGTTGATTCGCTTTGGTGTGAGGCTGTGAAGAGGCAAACAAATGCATAGTTCACTCGGAGAAGCATGACGATAGCTTTTAACGTCTTTCGCTCCTATCTGAGCCTCAAGTGACTCAAGTGCCAGCTTGATTGGCAGGGTAGACATGCTGTGCCCCTGCAAGAATCTGCAGCTGGCCAAGGCAAGAGCTCCGAAGCTTGCGTGCTCATGGACGCTGAATGCTGCACTGCTGTCAAACACCTGGTCGTTCATGATGACAGCTGGGTGCCGCGCAGTGCAGACACGGTTTTCTTGAATCACTCCACGGCCAGGGGCTGTTTTGCAATCACCTGCTGACCACTATACTCAAGGCCCAACGACTTGCATGCCTTAGGATCTTGGTCTTGTTGCAGGCTGTATCTACATCAGTTGGATTTGATTGAATATTTTGCAGCTGCGGCTGCCAGTTTGTCCACGTTCCGTTGATTCGGTTTGGCGTGAGGCTGTGAAGAGGCAAACAAATGCATAGTTCACTCGGAGACGCATGACGAAAGCTTTCAACGTCTTTCGCTCCTATCTGAGCCTCAAGTGACTCAACTGCCAGCTTGATTGGCAGGGTAGACATGCTATGCCCCTGCAAGAATCCGGAGCTGGCCAAGGCAAGAGCTCCGAAGCTTGCGTGCTCATGGACGCTGAATGGTGCACTGCTGTCAAACATTTGGTTGTTCATGATGACAACTGGGTGCCACAGTGCAGACAAGGTCTTCTTGATTCACTGACAGGCCAGGGGCTGTTTTGCAATCACCTGCTGACCACTATACTCAAGGCCCATCGACTTGTATACCTTGGCAGTTCCAGAAGAAAGCTTGCAAGCTTGTTGCAGGCTGTATCTACATCAGTTGGATTTGATTGCATATTTTGCAGCTGCGGCTGCCAGTTTGTCCACGTTTCGTTGATCCGCTTTGGTGTGAGGATGTGAAGAGGCACACAAATGCATAGTTCACTCGGAGAAGCATGACGATAGCTTTTAACGTCTTTCGCTCCTATCTGAGCCTCAAGTGACTCAAGTGCCAGCTTGATTGGCAGGGTAGACATGCTGTGCCCCTGCAAGAATCTGCAGCTGGCCAAGGCAAGAGCTCTGAAGCTTGCGTGCCCATGGACGCTCAATGGTGCACCGCTGTGAAACACCTGGTTGTTCATGATGACAGCTGGGTGCCGCGCAGTGCAGACACGGTTTTCTTGAATCACTCCACGGCCAGGGGCTGTTTTGCAATCACCTGCTGACCACTATACTCAAGGCCCATCGACTTGTATACCGTGGCAGTTCCAGAAGAAAGCTTGCAAGCTTGTTGCAGGCTGTATCTACATCAGTTGGATTTGATTGAATATTTTGCAGCTGCGGCTGCCAGTTTGTCCACCTTCCGTTGATTCGCTTTGGTGTGAGGCTGTGAAGAGGCAAACAAATGCATAGTTCACTCGGAGAAGCATGACGAAAGCTTTTAACGTCTTTCGCTCCTATCTGAGCCTCAAGTGACTCAAGTGCCAGCTTGATTGGCAGGGTAGACATGCTGTGCCCCTGCAAGAATCTGCAGCTGGCCAAGGCAAGAGCTCCGAATTGCGTGCTCATGGACGCTCAATGGTGCACTGCTGTCAAACACCTGGTCATTCATGATGACAGCTGGGTGCCGCGCAGTGCAGACACGGTTTTCTTGAATCACTCCACGGCCAGGGGCTGTTTTGCAATCACCTGCTGACCACTATACTCAAGGCCCAACGACTTGCATGCCTTAGGATCTTGGTCTTGTTGCAGGCTGTATCTACATCAGTTGGATTTGATTGCATATTTTGCAGCTGCGGCTGCCAGTTTGTCCACGTTCCGTTGATTCGCTTTGGCGTGAGGCTGTGAAGAGGCAAACAAATGCATAGTTCACTCGGAGACGCATGACGAAAGCTTTCAACGTCTTTCGCTCCTATCTGAGCCTCAAGTGACTCAAGTGCCAGCTTGATTGGCAGGGTAGACATGCTATGCCCCTGCAAGAAACCGGAGCTGGCCAAGGCAAGAGCTCCGAAGCTTGCGTGCTCATGGACGCTGAATGGTGCACTGCTGTCAAACACCTGGTTGTTCATGATGACAGCTGGGTGCCACAGTGCAGACAAGGTCTTCTTGATTCACTGACAGGCCAGGGGCTGTTTTGCAATCACCTGCTGACCACTATACTCAAGGCCCATCGACTTGTATACCTTGGCAGTTCCAGAAGAAAGCTTGCAAGCTTGTTGCAGGCTGTATCTACATCAGTATCTACATCAGTTGGATTTGATTGAATATTTTGCAGCTGCGGCTGCCAGTTTGTCCACCATCCGTTGATTCGCTTTGGTGTGAGGCTGTGAAGAGGCAAACAAATGCATAGTTCACTCGGAGAAGCATGACGATAGCTTTTAACGTCTTTCGCTCCTATCTGAGCCTCAAGTGACTCAAGTGCCAGCTTGATTGGCAGGGTAGACATGCTGTGCCCCTGCAAGAATCTGCAGCTGGCCAAGGCAAGAGCTCTGAAGCTTGCGTGCCCATGGACGCTCAATGGTGCACCGCTGTCAAACACCTGGTTGTTCATGATGACAGCTGGGTGCCGCGCAGTGCAGACACGGTTTTCTTGAATCACTCCACGGCCAGGGGCTGTTTTGCAATCACCTGCTGACCACTATACTCAAGGCCCATCGACTTGTATACCTTGGCAGTTCCAGGATAAAGCTTGCAAGCTTGTTGCAGGCTGTATCTACATCAGTTGGAATTGATTGCATATTTTGCAGCTGCGGCTGCCAGTTTGTCCACGTTTCGTTGATCCGCTTTGGTGTGAGGCTGTGAAGAGGCACACAAGTGCATAGTTCACTCGGAGAAGCATGACGATAGCTTTTAACGTCTTTCGCTCCTATCTGAGCCTCAAGTGACTCAAGTGCCAGCTTGATTGGCAGGGTAGACATGCTGTGCCCCTGCAAGAATCTGCAGCTGGCCAAGGCAAGAGCTCTGAAGCTTGCGTGCCCATGGACGCTCAATGGTGCACCGCTGTCAAACACCTGGTTGTTCATGATGACAGCTGGGTGCCACAGTGCAGACAAGGTCTTCTTGATTCACTGACAGGCCAGGGGCTGTTTTGCAATCACCTGCTGACCACTATACTCAAGGCCCATCGACTTGTATACCTTGGCAGTTCCAGAAGAAAGCTTGCAAGCTTGTTGCAGGCTGTATCTACAT